TTTTTTTAAAAAGTTAAAACATGTATAAACATAACCTGGTAACTGGAATTAAATACCGTATAACCATGGAAATAAGACACAAACAATGTAACTATGTTTACCGTATTATTATTGTTTGCTAAGAGTGGCCTTGTCCCTGTCTAAGCCAGCTTTATTCATTCCTGTGTTCACTAACCACACATGGAAAGCCTGCCACAGTCCTGACCCTGGGCCACTTGGAACACGTGTGAGCACAGACATCCAAGTCCAGGCATCATGTGACACACGTGGAGTGACAGGCTTTGGGGACCATGTGCTCTCTGTAGTCCCTCCTGCATGGCGCTGCCCAGTGCCCCTCTCCCCTCAGGTCAAATGTACGGATTTCCTCCCTACGGGGCCCCTGCAGAAGATGATCTCAGTCAGCCCCCATATGATATGAGCTGAATGTACCTATTATCAGTATATTGCAAAGAGATAAATAAGCCCAAAGAGGTAAAATGATGTATAAAGTGGTAGATTGAGGTTTAAAGCTCTAGAGGCTTAACTCCCAGACCTGTGTGGTTTACAGGAATGTAAATGTGTCCCCTCAGCCCCCTGCGAAGAGCCCATCCCCTCCACATGGGCCGGGACAGGGCCCGTGGAGTCTGTAGGGGGCACATGTCTTTGTGCCCAAGGGCGCACAGTGGGGATGTTTGCTGTCTCGTGGGTTGTGGTGGCAGGAAGCAGACTAAGTGTCATCAGCAAGAAGATGGACAGTGGATCACTTTATCTCCGCATTCACACTGGAATAGCATCGAGTGATAGGAGTGATCGACAGCTGCCCAGAGTGGCCTAGATAATTCTCAAAACATAAGGTTTTCATACGTCTGAAATAGTCTATAATTTGGAGTCTGTCTTTCATGGTAGATACTGCGTGTGTGACTCTGTTGCCTGGGGAAAGGTGTCCCAGGATAAGCAGAGTTCGCTCAAGGGTAAATGGTCATTTCTTTTCTTTTTTTTTTTCTCATCCAGGGTGAAGTTGGTCCTCCCGGCCCCCCTGGGTTACCTGGAACGGTAGGTTACACTGCTTCTCATCCTCTCCTTCTTTGAATCCCTAAGGCAGCCCTCCTCCCCCACTCTTCACTTAGTTATAGACACCTTTTTAATAGAGATTGCCTGTTCCTAGGTCTTGCAATCCGGAAATACATAAGCATCTCTAAGAACCACCTTGCACTTACTGATTTATTGCTTTTGTGCAGCAAGCACGGTTACTATTTAGCAGAACACTGGTTAGACACAGAGTATGTACCCACCTGTTGCATACGGGGAAGTTGAGGTCCAGAGACAAGCAGGGGGAGACTTTGTCCAGAGTAAGACTGCACATGGATATGTAACCATGACTCATGATTCCACCCCATGCAGGTATGAGGGCAGGCATTGTGATTGGTGTTGAGTAAGAGCATGGGCTTTGGAGCCACGAAATAGTGGGCTTGAGTTCCTGAGTGCCTTATCTGCCATCAACCAGCACTGATCTTAGGTATATTGTTTAACTTCAAAGACCTCACCTTCTCGTCTGTTACGAAAAACTATTATACCCAGCTATAGTACATTTCTAGTGAAAACCAACTGAATTAATATAGGGTATGTAGTATAGTTTCTGGTACATAATAAACACTAAATTAAAAACAACTGCCATATGAATATGGGAGCATATTTTGGGTTGTTTTTTTTTTTTTTTCCATCTTAATGTGTCTTCCCAGCCTTAGTAGTTTGTGCTTTGATCAGTTGATTTTGGGGAAGTTGAACATGGCTTCAGGGTTGGCCAATTGCTCGATTCCCAAAGTAGGGAACTGTCTAAGTATGGAGGCCAGGAGATGAGAGCCTGAACACCCGGAAATCCCATCTGCAGGATGACAGAAAATCATACTCTGTGTCGTTTGTGTTTGTTAAATCATTACTCCCCTGTTCAGTCTCCCCCCACACGCATGCCTGTCGGAATGAGACTCAGCCATCCCGAATCTCAGAATTATATTTAGAGCCGCAAATGGTCATATAAAACTTTTGTGTGATACTGGAAACATCTGATGTTGGCAGGCATGCAGGGAAATGAGCACTATTGTGTTGTGTGAGGGCAGACTGGTAACACTTGCTTGAGGAGTTACTCAGTATTAACGTATCGTAAAGTGTGTGCTTGTAGCTTAGAAATGCCGCTTCCAGGCATCTGTCCCAGAGAAGTGTTTGCACTGTGTGTATTTGAAAAAAACGTGTACAGGGACATACATTGTAGTTTTACTTATAATGAAGTATTATAGGCAACTTACGTGGCAGAAAATGAAGTAAACCATAGGATATCCATATCCTGGAGTCCTAGTTTATAAAAATACACACATGCATGTGCACACACACGCGCACACACACAACGTATGTGGCCTTGAGAAGATACTGGCACGCAACAGAGATGTGGTGGAAAACCCAGCGTGGGCTCACGGCCCAGCCGGTGGGGCCCCTTCCTGAGGCGCACTCACTGGCTGTGGGAGTTCCGTGAAGCAGTTTGCCTGTCTGCCTCCCAGTTTCTCATCCACACTGCAGGGAGAACGGATGATTGATCTCTTCATTGCTGTAGCGAATATGTGGCTTTACACGTATATACAAGGACCAATAACCGTGTGTTTGCTGTTGATATTGGTAGAATTCGTGTGCAAAGTCGTGCATTTTTATACATTCAAAATTGTGTAAAAGTACTTAGAAGAACTTGCTACACTGGGAAACGGTGGTTTCTTCTGGAGAAGAGACTGGTATTTGGGGACATAGAGGCTAAGGTTAGGAAACCTGCTTTTATCCTTCTGTTTTGACTTCATTGTGTTTTCAGACTAGAATCTGTGATGTTCTTTTGCCCACTCACTTATTTTTCTGAGCACCTGCTGTGAGCCAGGCACTGGTGGTGTTTGGACCCCACAGAGCTTCAGCCTGGTGGGCGAGACAGACTCTAGTCCCCTGGTGGCCCTGAAACACGTATGTGACAAATTATAGGAAGTACCAGCAGGGGAAAGGACAGGGTGCAGTTAGGGAGAGTAACAAGGGGACCTGATTTATATTTGGTGGCGGGGCAAGGGGGTCTTGGAAGACGAGACGTTGAAAACAGCCCCAAGGATGGGCTGTGGTCAGCCGGATAAAGGGAGGATGGGAGTGTGTTCCCAAAGGACAGCAGGTGCAAATGCCCTGTGGCTGCAGAAGCCGTGGCATCTGTGAAGCGCCAATGGCAGCATGGACACGGGGTGGGGCTGCAGGGCCACGTGGCTCTATGTGCCTGGATAAGGAGTGGCCAGAGGGCGCCTCCCCTGGTTTCTTCTCACACGCGTCACACCCAGGGGTGCTGCTGGTGACAGACTCTGGGGGTCGGGGGCGGTGTCTCAGGGTCCGATTACTCACAAGGATTCTCCCTCTCAGCCCAGGGCACCCTGAACAGAGAAGGTTTCATCCCCACTTTACTGATGTGGGAATGGAAGCTGACAGATGGTCACAAAGTTTTAAGTGGGGGGTGTGACTCCGGGTCCCCCATCTAACCACAGTGCTTTTCTGCCCTGCCTTGATCACCCCTCGGGGACTTGAAAGAAATATGTGATTGTACCTGTCAACACGAATCATCACTAAAGGAAATGCTGGGGCTGCGTTCTCCCATGTGGTCAAGTCTCTTAGAGGCAGGTGGTTAAAAGCAAGTCACATCTTTCTCATTTCTGTGCTTTCCTTTTCAGACGCCCCTGTTCACACCGCACCCCAGGATGCCAGTAAGTAGCAGCGGCCCCTGGGGGGCTGCAGGTGCCCTTTGGCCAGACCTGCGCTGCCCGCCTGCTCTGGCTCCTGACTTAGCCCCTCCACACGGGTCTGCAGGGCGGCTCACTTCCAGATTTGTCCAGACAGCTGGGCGGTGGCAGGGGGGGAAGGGCCCTGCAGGTGCCTGGCTCGGTGTCAGGCAGGCATGCCAGGGGCCGGGAGGTCACCTCTTGCTGGCTGAGGGTGAGGGCCAGCCCTCTCCTGGGGTAAGGTTGGGTCTCCGCTGCCCAGAGAGCCGGTGGTCGGGAGGAGAGCAGGTCAGGTGGCGGTGGACTGAGGAATCCCAGGGAGCATTACTGAGGATGTTGGCCTGAATGGGTCCCAGAGACTGAAGGACACTGGGGGGACCTGGGTCTAAGAGAGGCCGTTCAGAGGGAGGACAGTGGAGACCCAGCCAGCTGCAGGGTGTGGCTGGTGCACGGAGCTCTTGTGGCTTCTCCCAGAGACTAAAACACTCAGCAAGGAGGCTCATCATCGTGGCAGCCGCGGGGAAGCCTTTCCCTCCTCTGTCCATGAAAGGCTCTCGAGAAAATAAGTTTTTCCAGGATGACCTCCGCTCTCAGCAGCACTGCGGCCCGAGGCGTGCACCTGCTTGTCCCCTTTGCTCTCAGGACGGGGTCCTCCTGTGGCTGCTCCAGGCCGCGCGGCCGCTGAGAGCCCGCACACATCCGCATTTCAGTGGTTGCTTTGTGGGAGCGCTCGGTGTTGCGCGTATACGACTTAGAAAGCTGCAGCGTATCCTGTATATGTGGGGAAAGATAGGAGCTGGGGCAGCGAGCCAAGGAGTGGAAGGGGCGGAGCTTGAGCGCATCTCGCGTGGCAGGTGCCGGGCTGCCAGTGCTGACGCTGTCCCTGAGGGAGCTGCACATGTGCCCCGTTTCACAGATGACGACTTGTGGGTCAGAGGAGCTATGCAGGTTGCAAAGCGCCTGCCTGGGAGATAGGCCGTGAGATGGGTTGTGGGCTGCAAGGACCTGCCTGGCCACAGAGGCTGTCCCCACCTGCCGAGGAGATTCAGGGCTTGCCCAGGTGGTGGCCGCCCACATCACAGCACCCCGTGTCTGCCTGTCCCAGGACCACCTCTCCTGGTCTCCGTCCTCTGGGTCTCTCTCCCTCAGACCCACCCTGAGCCCCTCCAGCTGGAGACAAGCCTGCAGAGGCGGCCCCTCCTTAAAGGAATCACTCCCTTAAAGATGATTTCCAAGGTATTCCAGTTGGAAGGCTCTTGAGGGAGAGTCCGGGCCTGCCAGGCCTCCCCGTTGGACCCCAATCGCGACACTTCCTGTAGGGTCTGAGCCTTTCGGAGATCAGGAAGCCACCTCAGGTGCAAAGTGAAGAAATTGTGTCTATGGGGGGAAAAAAACGGTTCATTGTGGATTATTGCATGAGTCTCTCTGGGACCAGCCTCGTCGCCATGGTAACTGTACTTGTGTTGATGGTTTTGAAAAGTGATGTTTGACGTCTCCTTGCTCTCCTGAGGCATGCTCCCTTTGAGTCCCTGCACATGGTGCAGGGTGGCAAAGTCCCAGGCATAATTAAGCAAGGGAATAGAGAAGGCTGGGAGGAAAAACCCACCTCCCTCTGTCTGGGGATGGAGAAGGCTGCTGGGGCTGGCTGGGGGTGGCACCCGGGGAGGCTGGGGAGGCTGGGATGCCGCGTGCAGGTCTGCAGAGGGGACCCGGTCCTTCACTGGAGGAAGGAGGGACTGGCAGCCTCGGGCTTGGGGATGTTGCAGCTAAGAACTCAAGAGGGTCTTTGTAAGGGGTGGGCAGGGGGCGCTGGCAGGTGGCGAAGAAGCAGCCAGCTAGGAAGGGTCTGGGGCGGCCTGACTCCACCCCGTCAGCCTGCAAAGGAATCTGCAGGATGCCAGCCCAGTTGCAGGATGACACTGAGCCCAAAGAGGGTGTTGACGTGGTTGACGGACTCACCGGTGGGGGGGCAGCCTGGAGGAGAAAGAAGCCGCTCACACCCGTGCATTCAGCGGCTGGGGATGAGTACCCACTGTGTGCTCCTGGAGTGAAGGCTCTGCTTCCTGACTGATCCCCAGGCTGGGGCTGAAAATGGCTTGAGCACCTTGCCTGTGAGTCCCCAGGGGTCCCTCCTGTGGCCTGACGACTGCCATCTACAGTCCCTTCCTCCAGCTTCTTCCTAGTGCATCACCCGAAAGAACCCCATTAGCCCTTTTGTCTTTGTGGCTTGTATTGCCAGTGACTGGAGGACCAAAGAGTCTCGAAGGTCCCTACAGCAGGGAGGAAAGTGTGCTGGCCGGAAAGAATTGCTGTCCCTGATGAGCAGAGCTGGAATGTGTGATGAGCTGGTTTGCTTCAGAGGAACCAGTGAGGTCACAGCTGTGTGGGTGCCACGGAGCACTCTGCAAAAGCCACCTCGTTGAATCTTGGCCACAGCTCCCCAAGGTAGACCATGCAGATTCCATGCCACACAGGATGCAGAGAGAGAGAGAAAACCAGCCAGCACTGTGCAGATGCTAACGGGGCGGTCCGCCAGTCGCTTGGGCGAGGAGAGCAGGTGGGAACCCCAGGCAAGGTCTCCGGAGTCTGCCTGTGCCCGGGGAGAGAAAGCAGCCTGTCTTCCGGCTTCTCCTGCACCTGAGGGTTTAGGACTAGCCCACCCCAGGCTCCCTAACTCACACGTTAGAATTTGCCTTCTAGATGCTTCCAGGGGCCTCCCCAGACTTCCTGGTCTCTGGAGCCTTTGCTTTCAAATTCCCTGCCTATGGGGCCTTCTTTATACCTTCCAGGAAGTACTGATCCCAGTCTCTACTGTGGCCTTCCTGCAGATGGGGACCTGGGGTCTCCCTAGGCAGCCCGTGGCACTCAGGGACAGCACTGGGTCCTTCCGTCATTAGCCTGCTGTCTCTAGAGAGCTCCACAGACCCCCCCACACACACACACACTCTCCCCTCTGGGGCTCATCTCTGCTGCCCCTTCTCTGTGCCTTCTCCGTGCCTCACACTGTGTGAAATGGAGAACTTGCCTGTTCATTTTGTAGATATGGTCACAGAGGACCCTATGACTAAATACTCTGCCCAGGGTTATAGAGCCAGCACAGTGGAGAACAAGTTCTAAGCCAGTTCCTATGGAGCTGAGGCTGTTTTCACCACGGTCCACTGTCTCCATCCATCTCCCATCCTGGCCCTTCAGCCCTGAAAGGTGGAGGCCTGAGTGCTTTCCAGGGCCACCCTTGATGGAGACTCCTGTCTGCCCACCTTCTCACGGTCACTGGCAGGGAACAGGGTGAGGCTCTCTTGTCCCTCCATCCTTCCTGGGAGGTGTTGGGAGCCCTGGATGGGACACCAGCAGATCAAGAGAGTGACCCGTCTCCTCACCTATTAGATGACTCGATCCTGGGCAGCCCCCGATAGTACACACCTTTTCCTGGCTGTGGCCCACCTCTTCTTCAGCAAAAGCTAGACACGCCAATCTAGCCATCGAGGGTGCAGCCTTGAGTCCGCAGTCTGTCAGGTCCCTTGAGCAAAGCCTGCTCCCCAACTCCTCCATCAAGACAAGGCAGGGATGGGGCTCAGGGTCCGAGAATCGCCTTTCCGCTCAACAGTCCCTCTATCACTACTGACGGTCTGCATGTGCAGGGCTGGGGCTAGAGGGGGTGGGAAGGACAACAAACAAGGGTCTAAGTGCTGTGTGACAGGTACTGCAGAGAAAGACACTGTGACGCGAGTCCCTGAGTTTGGGGTAGCTTCCCTGAAGAAGGGATTCTTGATCTTGGATTTGAAGGATGAGAAGAATCATCAGAGTCCCAGGTGGGGGGCGATAGGGGAGAGGACCCCAGGCAGAGATAACAGCCTTTGCTAAGGGGTCAGGTGCAGAAAGCAGACAGGAGGGGCCGGTGTGGCCTGATCTGGGCACAGGGCGGGGTACGTGTGCTGTCCTCTGCTTCGCCAACAGGGAGAACGAGGGCCGAAAGGAGAGAAGGGTGATCCCGGCATGCCTGGCGAGCCGGTGAGGGCCCTGTACCCTGTGTTCTGCACCCCACGCATCCCCCGCCCCGTGCACCTGGTCGCAGGGCATCCAAAAGCCGTGTGACTGCATGTCTGAACTGCATGGTCTACTCACAGGATCCCCACTAACCGAATCCAGCCCCTTCCTCCTTCCTCACAGCTCCAAGGATGTCCCCACCGTGGATCCCATACCAAACCCACTGCACGTGTCCCCACCCCACCTGCTAGGAACCAGGGTGACCCCAAGCAAGAGCCACTGCCCTTGTCCCCGCCCCACCCTACCTGCTAGGAACTAGGGTGATGACCTAGTTCCTTGATGGTTCCATTGCAGGGGTCTCAAGGCCGTCCTGGAGAACTGGGGCCTCGGGGACCCATCGGAGCGCCGGTAAGAAACCCTCTCTCCGACTGTGGGCTCTGAGTTGCAGAAAACCCTGCCCACCCGCTGTCTCTCCCTGTCCCCAGTGGCCCTGCCTGCCTGGCATTTTGGGGCAGCCCAGCAGGGGGCACTACCACAGATGCTGTGAGCCCAGCGCCCCCGGGGGCCCTCACAAGGCACCCAAATGCAGCTCTGGGGGTGGGCGCTACCTCTGGACCCCTGGATGGGGAAGTGATGCTGGGACACGGGGTGGTTCAGATGCAGGAAAACCCTGCCACCCTCCCCTCTGGCTGGCGGCTCTGGTGTATCTGCTGCTGGTGCGGATTAGCATTTTTATTTTGTGGTTATTTTTCTCTGTTTGAGCTCCTTAACTGCCTCTCTCTCAGGCATGTTCTCTGGAGAGTTCCCTTTGGACTGACCTGTCTGGGCTCAGATCCCAGGGGTGCCACTGGCTGGCTGTGTGCACCTGGGCCGCCCTGTTCCTCTGAGCCTCGTTTACATAAGGTGTCTGTGTGAATACCTATACCCAGGGGGTGGTGAGGCCAGAATAAAATAACCACAGGCTGGGCTCCAGCGGATGGACAGACGGCCAGGAGGTTGTGATTTCCGCATGCTGTGGACTCTGCTCCCTGCGCAGTGTCCATTAATGGATTCCGATGAGCAGGGTGTCCCTGAGGTGGTCCCACATGGGGACAAGGACAGCTTCCCCATGATGTCTCACTGCCCCCTTTGTCTCCTGGGCAGGGTGCCAAGGGACAAGAAGGCCCCCGGGGGGCACCTGGAGCGGCTGGAAACCCTGTGAGTCCTCATGCACTTCCCGGGGGGCCCGCAGAGGGAGGCTGGGCCCACATGTGCCCTGGGCTCTGGGCTGACTGTAGGGAAGGGCCGTGTGGTCGGCCAGGGCTGGGCACCTTGGAGCAGCAAGGACCAGGAGAGACGTCCTGGTCTCTGCAACATTACTCGTGCTTCAGGGCTTTGTCGGCAAGCCCAGCCCGTGACAGGAGTGTCCTTCCACACGTGTGGGGGATGCACACAGGGACACACAAACACCCCCTCACACTTGCACACATTCTGAAACCAGGGTGCACCTGTACTGTGATGCACACGCCCCTACGGAAACTGTCAGCACGCGGGCATGGCTAGGGATGCATGCAGACAGGTGCCTTCCTGCACAGGCCTTCTGAACTCTCTGCGACTGTGCCCGGTCTCCCGTGGGGCCGGGATCTCCATGGGGTTGGCGCTGGTGTCCCCAGGCTGACAGAGCTACTTGTCACGATGCCAATGGGGGAGCAGACCACCTCCGCACCGGCTCTCCCTGGGAGCAGGAGTGGAAGTGACCACCCCCATGCTCCTGGGACAGTGGGTTAGATGTACCCGGCTGTAGTGTGCTTGTATAGCCCAGGCCATCCGTGCACGTGGCCGAGGGGAAATGGGGTCAGCCAAGGGCGGTGACCGACATGGATGTCCCAGGGTGGGGGCAGATGGCAGGCTCCTCCCTGCCAGTAGAGAGAGCCCTGGACGGGGTGCAGCCTGGAGGGAAATGGAAGCTGCATGCAGGCAAGGAGGCCTGGAAGATAACATGAGGAGCTTCCAGTCCTTGGAGAGTTCCCTGCTTCTCCATCTCCATGGTGTCGACCCCCGCACCCCCTCTCGTGGAATCTTCGTTAACCATGAGCGTTGCATTCGAATCCACTTCCTCCAGGAAGCATTCCCTGATGCATCCGTCAAAGTGAACACGAGCACACGCATGCATGGGCACACTCACACGTGCACGTAAACACACATGCACAACACGCACCCTCCACGTCTGCCACCTCCGTGCCTTCGTCTTAAGGAACCTCCTGTTTCCCACGTGCATGCCAGAATGCACTCACTGGAGGTCTGGCCAGTGTGCATGGGGGAGGAGGTCACCTTCCCTGTGGAGGGAACTTCGGGCCAGGAGCAGTTCAGCGAATTACCGTGAACGGAAGAGAAGGCGGGTTTACAGACACACTGGAGAAACCATCTGTAATCACTACGTGGGGCCTTTCTAAACTTCTGCCTCTGCATAGGGGACTCCTGGAGCTGCAGGCCTGCCTGGTGCCAGTGGCCCCCCAGGAAGCGCGGTGAGTGATCGGGGGAGGGCCGGGGCACCGGCGCGGGTCGTGGGTCAGTGGTGCCCACCCACCAGGTTCCCTTCTTTCTCCTCCCTGCAGCCCCGGGGGGTAGCCATCCTTCCTCCCACTTTACAGATGGAGAAATTGACGTCCCAGAGAAGGGCACCTAGAAAGTTAAGCAGCCTGAGGCTCTAGGTCACTCATGAGACTGCCAAGTGGTAAACAGAGCTGTTGGGACTGCAGAAAACCACAGAAAGCCTCTAAGGGTCTGGCGTGTGCTAGTCAGCCCCCGAGTTTGCCGTTAGAAGAGACAAAACACACCTGAAAGGTGCAAAGGGGTCCTGACCTTTAGGGTCCCTCTGCAGGTCACTTCCCAAGGCCTCTGCTTTTCACCTTCTAAAGGGAGAGGGTGGCCGCCCGGGACAGCAGCTAACAGCGGTGAACAGCACCCTGTCCCTGGTGTACGGAGTCCCCTCCCGCGGGGCCCCGCGTCTGCTGACAGGCTAGCTCCGAGAGCCACCGTAGATGATTTCAGCTTTAATGTTCCGCCATAAAACACCCGGTGACATAGTCAAGGGCAACAGAGAATTTGTCTTCCTAAAGTAGATTGAGGTCAATCCTGTTTGGTCATCATCAGCCTTTATGGATCATACTCACAGCACTTGGGGAGGACAAATATGGGGCATTGTTACATGCCAGGCTCTGTTCTAAGCACTTTATGTGTGTTAGTTCACCGAACCCCTTTGACCCTGCGAGGTGGATATGATCACCGCTTCCATTTTGCACGAGAGGAGAGGGAAGCACAGGGAGGCTGAGTCGTGTCCTTAGTGGTCGCCAGGGATGGTGCTGGAACATGGCCTTATGTCGCTCTCCCCATTTCCCTGCCTGCTGTCCGCTTCCAGGGACCAACCCTGTGTTCCTTAGCCTGAGGGTTTTCTCTGGCTTTTGGAGACCGCATTGTCCAGCCATAGGACACATGGTTTTTAGCACCTCCGGAAGCAGCCCCTAGCTGATGGCTGTGTGGACACCTGGCTCCTTCCCCTGGGCGGCTCCGGAGGGTGCATCCTGCCCTGGCCCCTAGAGCGCCTGCAGGACTGAGCTCCAGTCACATAAACACATGCTATCTGCCCATCCGCCCCATTCTCACTGCTCTGTTTCCCTACTGGGGTGTCCGTGGGCCGTTTGCACTGAGCCTTGTCTCAGAGTCAGGCTCTAGGTGATGTCAAGGACACAGGTGGAGCGGGTCCTTGGTGTGGAGCCTGTGTCCCTAGGTCACCCTCAGCCTCCCTGGTGTCCAGTGTAGGCTGCACCCTGCCCTCTTGAGAGCCACAGTCCGGGGTGGGGCAGACGTCCAGGCAGACTGGGCTCTGACACAGGGGTGTGTGAGCAGATGTAGGGTGGGGAGGCAGGGAGGGGATGACTACCCTCTGGTGAATTGAGTCAGGGATGGGGAGCCCATGGGCACAGAGCTGTAGCCTTGGCATTGGATCACCCTTCTCTGGGGGGGTCACAGGCCATCTTGAACTTGACCATGTGAATAACCTGTCTGTTTTCAGGGCCCACCTGGCATCAGAGGCCCCCCTGGAAAAGATGGGGAGCACGGTGAGAAGGTGAGAAGGGTCTTGTGGTCAACACGCGACATCTGTTCTCAGCTTCCTTTCTTTTCAGTTTACTTATTGAGAGAGAGAGAGAGCGAGAGAGCGAGCATGAGCAGAGGAGGGGCAGAGAGGGACAGAGACAGAAGCCCAAGCAGGCTTTGCACTGCCAGCACAGAGCCCAGTGCAGGGCTCCAACTCCTGAACCATGAGATCCTGACCTGAGCCGAAATCCAGAGTCACTCGCTTAACTGCCTGGGCCCCCAGGGCGCCTCCACATTCCCAGCTTCTTAAAAGGCAGCAAAGGTGGAGGCAGAGGGGAGCTGCTCAGGCCTGGGTTAGGGCACTGGGGTCAGAAGGGACTTTCCAGGCGGAGGAGAGGGAAGAGAAGGCCGTGCGGCCCCCTCTGGCCAGCTCATGGCAGACCTGTGTGTCGGATAGGGAGACTGAGGCTCTGAGAGAGCAGGAGATTCGCCCTACCCCCCACAGCGAGGTCTGCCTGACTTCAAATCCTGCTTTCTCTCAGTTCGGTACACCAGCGTATCCATCCCACACCTCGTGTGCACACTTAAGCCTTCCCAAGTATGAGAAAGAGTGTTTATCTATTAGGGGCAAGAGAGAGATGGTGTCTGCATGAGACATCAGCACCCCAGAGGCAGAGGAGGAAGGTGCCCAGCCTTTCAAAATCGGGTTTCACTTGCCTTCTAGAGCATGCCTCTGGGGTTTACTGCTGAGGGCCTGCGGCCGGCTTCCAGGGCATGGAAACCAGGGTTCTGAAAATCTCACACTCACAGGACAGCGACCCCCACCACATGCACGCAGATAATCCACCCGAACGTCAGTGTGCCAGTGTGGATACGACAGATCCCGGGTGCCATCTGTGCACTGGGATTTTCTCATCTGTGAGACGAGGACAGTGACATGTTGGTGGCAGGGTGTGAGGATTAAGTACCGAACTGGCATGCTGGAGGGCTCAGCACAGGGCAGGAGAGGAGATCCACTGTGGAGCCCGCCCTGCCCCCCATGAGCAGTGTCCTGTCCAGGACAGGTGTCCTCTGAATGGCGGACAGTCCACAGGGGCCCCCTTTAGAACAAGCGCCTCAACGTCTTGATCCCGATCCCTTCGAGTCCACACTTCACCCGGGACCTTTTAAAGGAGCGATCATGTTGTCTTTTCCATTTGGGCAGAATTAACAAGAATAGATGTTACATTTACTGGATTTTAAAATACCTGTCGCAGAGAAAAATGGTCAGCCAACCTGTGGAACATATCTTGAGTTTTCGGAGTGTTGATGATAAGCCCTATAATAATCCTTATGTGGTGCAGGTGCTAATTTTTGTTTGGAAAGAAAATAATGCCATCGTAGATGGTGGCAGTAAAAGGAAAGCACCCAGAGGAAGCCAGGGGAAAAATAACCCTGACCCATCTTCTTTGCTTTGCTTATGCCACGTGTGAAGATTGGGCTCGATTCTGGACACGTTGTAAGTAGAGAACCGATGACCTGGAAGGGGGTGACCAATGTGCTGGAGGCTTTGAGGTCCAGTTGAGCCGAGGAGTAAATTAGTTGGCATATTCACCACCAGGGGGCGCCAGACACCTCTCCTTGGCTGAGCGGGAAGCCTGGGCTGTGGGCCCAGGCCCAGGGCTGTGCTGGGAAGGAGACCCGAGTGGTCCGCAAAGAGGTCAAAAGTCGTGGTGCCAGGACATGCTCTTTCTCTGTGTCACGTGTCCAGTGACTGGCCTGAGGTTTGGGGAAGCCGATCCTGCCCTAGGCTTGCATGGAAGTGCCCTTGCTTGCCCCCCACCTTGGTCCTTATTGCACGCCCTGTCCATCAGGGAATGTCTGGAGGTATTCACACTGCAGCTCAGCCCAAGGGAGCCCTGCCCTGGAAGAGAAGCCCTCGTGGCTCCACCCACACGCCACAGCCAGGGATGCCACATAGGGCTGGAGACTGTGGTCCTGATGGGGAGCATGTGGGTGTGCATTGGCACAGAGAGGCTCGAAGCCCAGCTCCCTCCCTCCCCGGGTCCCGAAGCTCTCTGCCTCTGGTTTCTCCTCCCCTGACTTCAGAGCCCTGAGCAGTGTTCCTATCTCTGAAGGCCTCCACTGTGAAGAGGGATTAGATTTTGTCCGCGGAACACCAGGCTTGAGGGTCGCATGTCCAGAAGACTTTTGAGACGGCACTCTTGGCTGAATGTAAAAGACACGTGTGAAACAGGACTGCCCAATAAAGGAATAAGGCCTAGGAAAGTGGTGAGCTCTCTGCTCTTGTAGGAATTCAAGCAAAAGTGGAAGGACCTCCCACAAGAGATGCACCGGATGCTTTCCCCACGGCCCTGGGTGGACAACTGGGCTCTAACACTGCAAATGTCCTGTCCATTCCCAAGTCCTGCCTCGTATTAGTTTACCAAGTCTGCTGTAACAAGTGTCACTAGCTGGGTGGCTTACGCAACACAGGTGGACTGGCTGACCATTCTTACCACGTCTGGGAGTCCTAAATCGAGGTTTCAGCAGGGCCGGTTTCCCTTGAGGGACACGAGGGAAGGATGTCTTCCAGAACTCTCTCCTTGGCTTATTGATGGCTGCCTTCCCCCTGTGTCTTTACACTGTCTTCCCTCTATGCTGACCTGTGTCCAAATTTCCTCTTCTTACAAGGACACTAGTCATACTAGATGAGGGGCCGCCCTCCTCCAATATGACCTCAACCTAGCAACAAATTGCCTCTGCAAAAAAGATCCTGCTTCCCAACTGAGGTATGGGGGATTAGGACCTCAGCATAGAAATTGTGGGGGACCCAGTCCAACTTATATATGTCGTATAGAACAGTCAGAGCATCACCAGGAAGCCTACCGGTTGGCTGGCTCACCCACCCCTGAAAAGCTTACCTTCTGCACGTCATTGATCCTGGAAACTGTCCACCTGTCTTCCCAGGGAGCAGCAGGTGAAGAAGGGAGTCCAGGACCAGCTGGTCCCAGAGGTGATCCTGGTGCTCCCGGGCTCCCAGGGATACCCGGACAGGGAAAAGATGGAGAGCCGGTGAGTGTCACAGCCAGGGCGTTTCTGTGCCCATTCGACCAAGCTAGAATTCAAAAAGACAAGGGAAAAGGGGACAAAAAAAGAGAGACTGACCGACTCTCAAGGCTTAAGTGAGAGGGTCCACATAAATCCATGGAGCATGGAGCCAGGGAAGCATTTATTATGTTAACTATGGTCCAGGCACTCAGCACCAAACATTTAATCTTAACTACCCTGGAAGTGAGTGCTTCTTTTTTTTTTTTTTTTTTTTTTTTTTTTTTTTTTTTTTTTTTTTTTAGCCCATTCACGCTACTATAACACAATAGCATAACTTAGTGGTCTCTAAACAACAGAAATTTATTTCTCACAGTTGTGGAGGCTGGAAGTCCAAGTTCAGGGTGTCCGCGTGGCCAGGTTCAGGGCCAGAAGACCCATTCTGTTTTGAGTTGCAGAATGCCTACTTCTCATTGTGTCCTCACATGACGGAAGGGGTGAGGGGTCTCTCTGGAGCCTCTGTTATGAGGACACAAATCTCATTCTTGAAGGTTCTACCCTCATGTCCTGAACACCAAAGTCCCTGCCTTCTAGAACCATCTCCTTGAGCCTTAGGATTTAACCTATGAATTTGGGGAGGACACAAGCATTCAGACCATAGCAGTATTATCACCCCTATACTATTGATGGGGAATATGAGGTTTGGGGAGGTGAATCACTTGCCAAAGTCACAGAGCGTGGCTGTGAACCCACAAGAGACTGGACCCTCGCCTCTTCCTCCACTCTGGCTCGCTGGCAATACATGCAAATGTAGAGTTGTGATTTTAATTCTGGCCGTGCATCTGCATCAAGCAAAACCCTCAAGCCTGAAGTTGAAGATTCTTCTCATTGGCTCCCCCAGGTCTTGAGGTCATGGTAGACAAGAAAGAGACCAGGCTTTGGAGCCCATGGGCTCTGCTTTGAAGCCTGGCCTTGCCTGTCCTTGTGGGAGCCTTGAGTAGAAGGATCTTAAGTAGGAAAGCAGGCTAAGAGAAACTGGGATTTGCTCTGGGTCACACGGAGGCGAGGCGGTAGGTGGCAGGGTCAGAATTCACACCCAAGACACCTATAGCTCAGAAACAGTCATTTCTTTTGTAAACAACAGGCCACGGTGAGACCCCTGTCTCTCTCGAGCCCGCAGCACAGGGCACGCACGGCTTGGCTTGTGGAAGATGGTAGATGTTCATTTGTGGTCCTCTCATTGTCCTCATGTCATTCATTTCCCCCAGGGGCTTCGTGGGCCACCCGGATTACCTGGACCTCTAGGAACCAAGGTAAGTGTTTATCCAAGCAAATCATGATGCCGTGGGCTGTCCTGCAAAAGGGACCGTGCACGATTGTATCGGGAGCATCTCTGGTCACTTCTCAGCTCCACAGTTAATCACATTCTGCTTGACTGAAGACTCTACAGGGACACTTCCCTGAAGTTATCTTTACACAGAATCATTCATTCTTTGACTCATCTGTGCCCCGATCACCAGTGAGTGCATTTATGATTGTATCCGTTGCTCACATCCACTAAGCTGCTGCCACATGTTGGATCTTGAGGTGGGCCGTGGGACGGCACTGATGTATGTGACATGTCCCCAGCCCTCTGACAGCTCACCAGCCAGAGGGGAAAGCAGATGAATGAGTAGGCAAAAGCAGACCAGTGCTAGGATAGAGGGAGGCTTGGGGCATAAGGGAGCTCCAGGGAGGCTCCCCAGCCCAGCCTGGTCGGACTGGAGAAGGCTTCATGGAGGAGGTGATGTTTGTCCTGATTTTAAAGTGCTTGCAGCAGTTGGAAGGAGAAGAAGTGAGGAAGGGGTTCTCTGCAGGGGTACTTACAGGGGAGAAGACACTGAGGCAGGACACGGAATGTGTTCAGAGACCAGGATGTACCGTGAACGCACCCACCTCCAATGAAACATGGCTTGACCAACTCAGATGCTTGAACGTAAGCATGTGGCAAGTCAGTCAGTGATGGATGGACATTGAAATGTGTTTTTTCTTGCTTCAATTTAACATACATATAAAAGACCACATTAAAATCTTGTATAATTATTTTTTTAGCCACTTGTGTGTATTTATGAAAACGAATTTTAGTAATTCTTCTTGTGTGCCTTCAGTACCATTTTCTGTCACACCCAGAGCCACTGTCTTTTTTTTTTTATAGTTTATTTATTTATTTTGAGAGAGTGTGTGTATATACTTGCATGACTGGGGGAGGGGCAGAGAGAGGGGGAGAGAGAGAATCCCAAACAGGCTCCATGCTGTCAGCGCAGAACCTGATGTGGGGCTTGAACTCATGAACCATGAGATCATGACCTAAGCCCAAATCAAGAGTTGGATGCTTAACCGACTAAACCACCTGAGTGCCCCCCAGAGTCACTTTCTGAGTCAGCCAGCACTTTTCTGCAGCACGCCCCCATCCATCCCACCTGTGTTAGGATATAGAGCTTCTGGAAGCCATGATGGGAAGATTTATCCCAAGCCCCAGATCCCCATCCATTTAATGGTAACTATAGTTTTTACTCTACAGCTGTATCTTTAGGATCTCAACAACAGAACCACAGAATGTGTTGCTTCTTAAATTGTATATGTACATGGCTCATTCACAAGAATATCCAGGGTAAGAAGTTTGAGGCCCCCAAATAATTGCTGCACCTACATTACACATCTTTGCTGCATGGTTTCCCTCTATTCAGGCAGGTAGCCTCTGTAAGCAATCTAAGCTTGCACCGATGGAAGTCATGGTCACTAATGTGCATCCTCTGGTAGCTATTTTGTCATTTGCGATCAAAGAAAAGAGAAATGGGAGTGTTCTTGGGGTGATCTGAGCAAATATATGGCAACTCCCTATTTCCTGGAGAAAAAAACCCAACCTCGGAGTCAACTTTTCCTGAATTTGGAGGCATATAAAATAGTCCCACATGCCTGGAGTAATGGGCACGTGTGGAGAGGAGCAGAAGGCAAGACACAAGCTCTGGAGAATCTTATGGATCAGCCACCAGCCTGAGGCTGCCGTGATGTGCTGAGCCCCACATCTGGGTGCTCCTGTGCTCTCACTTTTCTCCCTAACAGGGAGCCTTCAGCCCCTTAGAAGAACGGAAGGCAAAGGCACCAGAAATGGCTTAAGATGTCCTTTTCCTATGATTACTATTCATGAGTTTAATAAAATCTGTCTCCCAGGCAGAGTTTGGGGGAAAATCGACGATATAATACAAATAAAAATAGTTGCCTGACTTTGTGCTGTCAGAGGTACATGCTCAATAAACAGTGATCCTTGGGGTGCCTGGGTGGCTCAGTCAGTTGAGCATCTGACTCTTGATTTCAGCTCATGTCATGATCCCAGGGTTGTGGGATTGAGCCCCATGTTGGGCTCTGTGCTGAGCATGGTGCTGCTTGGGATTCTCTCTCTCCTTCTGTCGCTCTCCCTACTTACACACACACACACACACACACACACACACACACACTCTCTCTCTCTCTCTCTCTCTCTCTCTCTCTCTCTCTCTCTGTAACATAATGCAAAATTAGTGATCCTTATTATTAGATCACCCTGTGGAGTCAGCTTTAGGGTGGCAGCAGGAAGATGGGGACCTAGAGAGCCCTTACCTATTTCTGCAGCCATGTTGGGAACCCACATGGAAGTGGATGGAGGCAGCACTGAAGAGAGAGGCAGGCTGAGGCTCCAGGTGAGGAGTGCAGAGAGCCTTGACCTGGGGTCCACTTGACCAACCAGTGTCACCTGCGGGTGACCCAGGGTTAGACATGGCATCCCTTTGGCCAGATGTTTTCTCCTATTTAAAATGTGAGGGATGGAAACAGATGACCCATTCCCATGTTGATATTGTATACACGTATAAGTTAGAATGTTGTTTAGAAATAAAATTTCCATACTTAATTGGCACTGGGAAGGTAAGTTTGAATTCAAGGATGTCTTTAGTTGAAGAATGGGCTGTTTGTGGGTTGGAAGCAGGGAAGGATGAAGAGAGACACAGGAGAGCGCCTGCTGAGTGCCCCCGCTGTCCATGGTGCTGACCAGAAACCCCTGGCTGGAGGAAGGGAGCCATATAACGGTTTTCAGGGTAGACCCCCTTCCTAATTACTTAAACTGCAGGAGGGTTCTTAAAGAAGCCTTTCCTTTTCTTGGGTGGCACTCATTTCTAGCAAAATGAACAGGCTTTGCCTTCATCTTGTGGGTTAGGGTCACAGCTCAGTGACCTACAAGATAGATGGCTTGAAGCAAGTGGTTTACTCTTTCTGAGACCCTCTTGTCCTTTTCTGTATAAATGGGTAAAGCATATTTAACTCCCAAAGGGCTCCTGTGGAAAGAAATGATGTCATTCTCCGTCCACGACCTGCACTTACTCATGCATTTCTTTCCTGGACACTGTTGGACTGGCCCAGAATGTCCTGCAGCCAAAATATTTTCTAGAGTCCCTATCACAGATTCTAGCTCCTGTGCCCCCTTTGTTTCTTAATCATAAGCCTTTTTCCTTTAGCTGGCAGAACATTAAGCCCTTTTGCTCTTTTCTTGGAGCCTTTTTCTAAAAGTTTCAGTCCATTAAGCTGTAAAGTGTTGTTGCTTTGGGGAAATGTTAGCATCATCATGGGCCATAAACACAGGAAAGGAACCAGGTCTGGCTACCTTGCAGAAAAGAATAACCAGAGACTCAGATTCCAGGCTGGGCTGAGTGTTCCCTCCTGGCTCTACCAAGCTCCTTCCTCTTAAAATGTTGATTTCGGTCAAAGGCAGAATTTAGTACCTGACAAAATGTTGGCAGTGATGGATTCACTCATTCCAGCACTCAGGAAATAGCTATTAAAGGCTGCCGCTGGTGCCAGGTCCTAAGCTGGGCACTGTGGATGCAAAAGTGTATCGACCTTGTACCCAACACAGGGTCTGACTCATCCTAGGTACTGGACAAATGCTTGTTCAATTAATGGGTAGGTGAACGAATGGGAAGTTTCTACTCTTAAGACACTTACGTAGATGCCAGAGGGTCAGACAGACACAATGGGAGAGCAGCGTGTTAAGGTTAACGAAGACACACGCAGACATGGGCGGGAGGACAGACAGGAGGACAGGCAGAGGTGGGTTTATGGAAATGGGATGATTGGGCTACTCTTACTTGATGGGTCAGCGTTTGGAAGGTTAAAACATGAATGTTTGGTGTGTTTAGCTGGCAGTAGTTAGGGCTTGCTGGTATGTAAGAGACAGCCTCGGGAGCAAGAGGGGAGCCAAGCTAAAACAAAATGGTAAGACAATTTACATGAAACACTTTAAAGAGAAACCGAGATGCAAAAGGATATGGATTTCTCTTGTATTTACGTGTGTTTGTTTTCTGTCTTCTAATTCTACTGATAAAGTAATAATAACACGTTTATAATACTCAATGTTAAATTGTCTCTTACCCTTTAAATGAGTCTTCGTAAGATACATGGGAGAATGTTCTCTCCCTTTTTTGTTGATTGACGAGGGCCCTAAGGTACAGAGAGGCTATGGGACTCACCCAGGTTCCAGTACCAGGTGGACACTGTCCTGAAACTGGACCTACAGTCACCTGACTGCCTGTTTGAACTCTTCCCACGTGGCTGTCTCATTGGTGCAGTGCGTTTGTGACTGACGCATCACGGAGTGTGTTCATCCTTAGTTCATTACACTTTCCCCCCATTTTTCCTTGTTTCTGGACTTCCTCCCTTCCCCACCTTCCCCATGCATGCAGATTAGATTTTCTAGCCATCCCGATCATCTCGTACTTCTCAGAATAAGCCATATTACATTTTTCTAAAAAACAGTGTTCCATCCAGGACTTCTAAGAGAATTTTAGGAGGGGCCTATTTACAGAGGCAAGGGGGAAGGGGCATGGGGTGCTGTGGCTCTCCGGAAGCATGGCCTCAGTGGGCCTGGAAGGACAGTGGGTGCAGATGGTGTTACTAGAGAGAGGTTTGGGGTTTGGTTCATCTCTTGTGAGAACTTCACAAGTCCTGTCCCTCCTACTTTCCATGAACGAGATTTCTCTTCAGCATGTGTTGGAAATGGGCATCGTTTGATCTTAGAACCTATGTCACTGCTGGTAATAAACACACAGCAAACATTGGTCAAATGAATATAACTTTGGTACTCATCCAGGCAACAGACCTACTGCAGGAAAACTAATCATCTTAGAAATGTTACTTTTCTTAAAGGTCCAAAATGTGAAATTTTTCAATCAACGTGATGGTTAGAGGGGAAGCTGATTATTAACGGGATTTGTTTCATGCTTAGAAACATAAACCTTAATAAGTGATGTGTTGCCTAGCAATGTCAGGCTCCACCTCAAATCAGATTGGTGCACATTATCTCATTGGCTTCTCATGGTAACCTTCTAAAGCTCTTTTCGTTTGTCATACGCGTTAACTCATCCCAGGGATATTAAATAGCTCGAACAAGATCAGCCACCATTTCAGTGTTAGGCTTGGCTAGAGTTCAGCTGACCTAATACAGGTGCACAGTCTTGCACAAAATTGATGGGGCCCTGTGTGTTCTGGGCCGAATTTATTTTGGAATTAGAAAGGTAGTAATTTTCAAACTCTAGCTGTAGCATTTACTGTGGTGTGTGGGCCAGCAAGCCTAGTCAAACTCTTTAATATTGATGCAACAGAAGCCTGGAAGCATCCATACAAAACGGGATAACTGAAGGGTGTGAGGAGCCTGTGTCGGCACCAGTCAGGCTTTGCTGCCAGTTGAGTTAGGGTAAGCCTTTGTGTTCAGAGGCTGAGGATTTTGAAATTGTGGATAAAATGGTGTGATTCAATCTCAGCTTCCTTCTCCAGGAAGTGGCAGACATTCTTTCTTTTTTCTCTTCCCATCGAAGTCCAGAATGACGGGTGCGTGAGAACAGAAAGAGCCACGGCAGCTAACTTGCACGGAGCCCTGAGCCAGGCTGTTCATCCAGCATGGCGCTCTGCATGTGTCCTCTGGTTTTGTGAGCACGACCACCTGCTGACCTGGCAGCTCCTGTTATTACCACCCCCCACCCCCTCACCCCCACCTCCTCCTCCTTTGTAAATGAAGAAACAAAAGCTCAGGGAACTTGTCACTTTCTTGAGTCAATAGTGAATGAGTGTTGGAGACAGAACTTCAGCCCACCCTCTATTAACCACTATTCTTGAAGGCAGTGGTTATAGCTCAGTCATCCTTGCCACTCCCAACCCCTGGAAACGTGGCTTGCAAATATAGGTACTTGACAAAGTATTGGTAAACTGTTGCCAATTTGGAAACTAATTGGAAATGTAGGCACATAGTAAAATCTGGGGTGTGGTCAGGATGGGAGCGTGATGAGGTCTGGAGAAGGCACAGGAAAATTTGGAACTGTGGTCGCATAAAGGGTGATCATCTTGTTACAAGCACACTGGGAGCCATGGTCAGTGTTGGGGCATGGTACCTTGAAAGGTGCATGGTCATGGTTGGTGGCTGTGTATATGTGTGGTGGACCGGGTGGGTGATGGGCTGCCTAGGGTCTGTGGAGAGACACACAGAGCCCAGGTGGCAGGAGAGGTGTTGATGGACAGCAGTCGGGACGGTAGGAGGGGCATGATTCCTTTTGTACACGGGCTCTGTGCTGCTCGGAACTGACCTCTTAATCATATTTTTCCTCTTTCTAGGGGGACCGAGGTGCACCTGGGATCCCTGGCTCCCCTGGCAACCGTGGCGACCCAGGCATTGGGTTGGCTGGCCCTCCTGTGAGTCTTAATGTTTCTAGCACTTCCTCCCTCACCCTCAGGCCACACAGCCACTCCCTGCTGGCCCCTGAGTGAATGTATAGCTTGGGCTTTCCTGCAGAGACCCTCCCTTTCCAGCTAACCTGGGAGCGGTTCACGGTCCTCCAGTCCATTGGGACCTAGACCCGCCTACTGGCTTTGTTCTCAAACTTGGTGTAGTTTGTGTGGGAATAAGGCTTTGGGGAAAAACTGGACTTGTCCAATTGAAAGAGGAGAGAACAAAATTCATTAATATTTAAAAAAGATCAAAAATGACTCACTGGCCAAACTTTGCAAATCTGAGTTGTAGCCCGTGAACCTGAATTGACGGGGAAGGGGTGTGATGTGGGGGAAACAGCAAGCTCTCATGTACTGTAGGTGTAGTGAGTTCATTACCCCTCTTCCTCCAGTTAGTCTACAGGTGAGGACATGAATGCAATCAAGGACGGTTTTCATACAGTCTCCAAAATGGAATCTATGCAGTGGTCCTTAGATTGGTAGTTTGATAAATAATGCACATCAGTCTGATGGATTTGAGTCTACAGACTCCCTAGAGGTGGTGACTTTAGAGCTTAATCGAGATTGCAAGGACCAGGGATGCCTGCGCCTCCATCCAGGTGGAGGATAGCGGTCAATATTTTCAGCCAGCCTCCACCTGAATATCTTGAGAAATGGAAGACACGCTCCTTTGAAAGGTAATGCACCTGGATTTGGAATGTAGGCAACTATTTCTATAGAGAATCGACATTTATTAGAATTTTTTTTCCCATTGAGAGTAGGAATTTGGTCTTCTGTGTCTTCTACCCCTGGCCTCTGATTCTTCCCTTTGGTGTCAGAAAGATCACACCTCCTACCTCCTTGTACTGCATTGTAGCCTTCAGAATTTAAGGCCAGTTTCCAATCCTGATGATTTGTCTTCTGTGTAGTCCCTTCTTTGCTACCAAGATGCACAGCACGTTAATGACGCACCTTAACATTGTATTGACTTTTTTCTTGAGAGCCATGTTGCTCGGCCCTCTTGGGCTGCTTTAACAAAAATAATCATAGACTGTGTGGCTTATAAGCAGTAGGCACTTATTCGCCACAGTTCTGGAGTCTGGATGTCCAAGATCAGGGTGTGAGCAGATTCATCGTCTGATGGTCCTTTTCCTGATTCATAGATGGCTGTCTTTTCTCTGTGTCCTCAAAGGGTGGAGGAATGAGGGACCTCTCTCCAGGTTCTCTTTTCTAAGGACACTAATTCCAGTCATGAAGCCTCTGCTCTCATTACCTAGTCACCTCTCGAAGGCCCATTTCCAGATACCATCATGAAGGAACTTTGGTTTCCATGTAAGAATTTGGGGAAGACATAAACATTCAGTCTGTAGCACCTGTCTTACTATTATTGAAAAGAAGCTCGCATACCCAGTCCTTTTCAAATGCTACTACTAAGTCTCATCATATCCAAACTATTCATGCATTGTTGTTACCGCTATTTAACCCACTCTAACTCCACCCCTATTCTGGATATAAACCAGAGCAGCACATGACCCCAGTCTCTGCTTGGTTTTGCATGCAAGAACTACCGACCTCAATAAAAACCCATTAAAGGAACCCTACTTTTTGTCTCTCAAATAATTTGAGAGGAAATCCAGTTTCTTACCCACAGTATCACTTATAAAACAGAAATTCCCTTTTCTTCCATCTGTGGTCCTCTTACATACCACCGTTGGTCTTGGGTCCCTCACTCTGTCCCTGAAATTCTCCAGGGAACCCCCCCCTCCAGCTTGCCTCATTTGCTCACCACCAGAAATGACCACAGCCCTTCCATCTCACATGGGGTGCGGGGCTCCTGTCTCCTTAAAAGTGCCTGAAACCATGGAGCAGGCATATGGAATCCCCTTGGGAATGTCCAGTTTTAGTCTGTCTTTCTTCCAAAGAAATTCTCAGAACAAATTCTCCTGCTTCATTACATCAACCGTATCTTTTGTCTTTGGCTATTTTTTTTTTCTTCAGTTTTTTGGTAGCTGGAAGGAACAGGGTTCAAGCGTTGTTATTTCTGAAACCCTCCTTCTCCTGGGGCCTGATCTGGAGTGAGGATTCTGCCTCATGTAGGAATTAACCCTAGAATAGAAAACTTTTTGTAAGGGAAGCTGTAAGGTGAATGTAGGGCTCTCCGTCACGTAGCAGGTCTCTGTAGATCCCGGTCTGTTCCCTACAGGCTCACCGTGTCAGGCCCTTAATCAGAACACCAGTCGGTAGAGGGGGACATCGTCCACCCCACCTCCCGCTTCAGAGCCAGCTAAAGTAAGCCATGAAATATGTTCATGCCTAAGTGATTCCACCTGAAAAGTAATTGGCTGGCTGCAGCCAAGGGGCTATAAATCAACTCTTTATTGTCTTTCCTCTTCAACTTATTACAAGCTTCCGTGGCGGACGAAAGCTTACTGAATTTTCATAAATCCTGTCTTTGGCCCCTTGCCTAGGCTCTTGATGACCTGGGAATCTGCACAGAGGATGCAGGGGTGCGCTGAGAGTCAGGGGAAGTGAAGGAGGGGGTGATGCCAGGGGTGTGGGTTCACCAGGGACTCAGCTGCCTCTTTACGGGACCAGGGCCATTTGCCGAGTGGTCTGTGTCTGGCCTGGTGCCCAGTGTAGAAGCCTGCGTACCCACCGCCTCCTGCAGTCCTGTGAATGTGCCCTACCACTGGGTGAAAGCTGCCTTCTGCAGAAGCCTCTCCTGAGAACAGGGCTCAGTGCAAGGAGTTTATTTGGGAGATGCTCCAGAAATCACTACTTGGGGGGTAGCCTGTGGGGAAAGGAAGGGAAGTGAGGGAGACTGTGTTCACGAGCAGACTTGGGCTGTGGACGACTAGGGCTTCCTTCTCCTGACAGCCCGGGAGAGGTGAGAGGCCTGGTGCATTGCAGAGTTGTTTTCCAATGGTGGGGGGGGGGGGGGGGCGGGGGTGTATGTGTGTGTCCACTCCTGTTGGCCAGCGGGTGGAGGCTGCTCCCTGCGGGGCTGACTCCCAGGAGCTCTCAGCCTGCCCCATCCTCAGCTCAAGAGTTGTCCTGTGGCTCCAGAAAGCCCGGGATGCTGCCAGGTGCCAGGGGGAGGGGGCATTTGGAGAGGGGCGCTGATGGCTCGACTACATCACTGTTTTCCAGGTTAACAATCTGAGGTTCACGAGGTGGAGTGACTTGGCCAATGTCACATAGCCCGTCCTGTGCCAGGGCCAGGATGCACATCACCTCCCACATCCTCCCAAAGCAGTTCTCTTCGCCTGTGTCACCTCACCCGGTGGTTTCAGCAGGATGAGCAGGATTATCCATTTCCATTAAGCGCTCCCATTAAGGACGGATCAGCTTATAAGTTATTCTTCACGTCCTCCCTTCCCTGGCATTATGCTCTGAGGCCTTTGGCATCCGGGAGCAGTGCCGACCCCGCTGGAAGGGAGCCCTGGCTTTCCCTGCCAGCCTGTGCACCTCACTGGACAGGGATATGGGTGGCAAAGCAGCTGTGGGGGGTTTGGCTTCTAGATTCAAGACACTCACAAAAAAACCCTTTAATCTCCAGGTTGCCTCTGATCTTCCTTTAGCGAGGTTTTAAACGCTTAAAAATGATCCAGCTTAGGCCTGAGGGCAGATCACAGTGCTACTGAACCTCACTGAACCCAGGAGCTCGAGGTCTGCAAGGGCGAGATTCCCGCTGACGACCGTGTTCCCTGAGACCCACGCCTTCTGATTCTGTCAGTTTCTTCATGGGTGAAGTGCCTGTAATTTCTGTAGCGGCAGCAGGGGTGTCGTGAGGTTACATCATGATAACATTGGTAATGACACCTGGCACCCTGCCTTTGACCTTCTGATGTCATAAAAATCCTCCCCCGACCTTTCCTTCCCGTCTGCAGTCTTTTGTACCGACGCCCTCCTTGGTGTAGGTAGAGTCGCATGTCAGTCAGGACTGGTTCGCTGTTAGGCTGACAGCCCGATGGAAGAAAGAAGCATGGAGCTGATGATGTGCAATAAAATGTGTCAGTGTCCTAACAGTTTTTTTTAACTCCCCATCATCTAGGAAATAGTATAATAAGACTAGAGATAAAAGCTCCTGAGAGGTGGCAGAACAGTAACCCCAGCGAGCCCGCTGGTTGGCCTCCAGGGGGCAGCAGTGAGCAGGGCAACCAGGACCTGTGGGTCCTGTTCTCCTTTTCATGTTCCAGTGAAGACAGAGAGGTAACACCACTTGCCTGAAGTGACAGCTGGGACTTGGTGGAGCTAGGGTTGGGCCCCGAGCATCCTGCCGCGCTCCGGGCAGGGCAGCGATAGTGACACGTCCATGCTCGCAAGTCTTCATGGGACAGCGTCTTCTCCGCGCACCGTGGCTTCTGAGCTACGACTCAGGAGGCTAGCGGTTGTTCTCTGCCCCTTTCTTTATGGAGGTACAGTTGCCACACAAGGTCACGTTGGTTTCAGGTTGTACAGAAGCGTTGCGTTTTGTTCATGTGTCTTATCTGCCTGTTTGGTTCTGTTCCTTTGTGTAGGAGAACCAGAGAGCCACTCAGGTCAGGCCGTCCCAAGAAGGAGGCTGGCCAGTTTCCCTCAAAGGGAGTTGGTGCAGCCACGTGGCCACTTATCTGGCCCTGCTGGGGGACATTTCTCAGGCATTTCCCTATGGGCATTTCTCAGTAGTTACCCCAAAGCTGATGCCCAGGGAATGTGCAGGTCTTTGCTCACTAACACGCACTCCCATCCTGTTCTGTGCACAAGGTGAGGTGGGGAGGGTGTGGATGGCGAGACACCCTCATACCCTAGAGCTCTGCATATGACCAGGAACTGAGTATCCCACTCTTGGTGTTTAGATTCAAGTCTTGGTTGATGAAACAAAAAGATTTTTTTTTTAATTTTTCTGTTTGTTTACTAATCCATTTTGAGAGAGAAAGAGCATGAGCAGGGGAGGGGCAGAGAGAGAGGGAGGGAGAGAGAAAATCCCAAGCAGGCTCTGCACTGTCAGCACAGAGCCCAATGCAGGGCTCGAACTCATGAACTGTGAGATCACGACCTGAGCCGAAACCAAGAGTGGGACCCTTGACTGACTGAGCCAGCCAGGTGCCCCAAAAAATGTTTTAAAATAAGTTTCCACAGTCACTTCTGGTTGGGAGCTCTCCTTTCGATCTCTGTGGCTGATCTCAATTCCTTTACAGTGGGCCAGGCTGTTGTTCTGGCCTCGTTCGGCCTCCCTCCTACCTCACTCCTGGATTTCCACCCTGGCCTCCCCGCCTGGCCTTCTCCAGCCGCTGGGGTACCCACACCACCCCAGAGCCTGGATCTGAGCTCATCCGTAACTCGGAAGCCTCTCCTGAGGGGCACTGCAGGCCCTTCTCACCCAGGCAGACCCCAGCTGCCCTGGGAAAGTATGGCTGCAGCCACCAGGCATTCCCATGACAAGGAAAGGAGCTGTTCTTTCCTGCGCAAAGCTTGACTTCTCTTCTGCCGGGGTCGTGCTTGCCCTTCCCTGCCTGTGAAGCCCACCGGCCTCTTCCCCCAACCTCTCTCCCCTGGCACCCTCTGGGTAAAGCCTCCCCCAAGTCTCTCAGGCAGGCGTCAGCAGCTCTGGCATCTTTCAATCCAGACCCATTGAGTCCCCATTGGTTATTAGAAGGGTGGGTTTCCTTACTTGAGCACTGAGTGTAGGCATCCTCCGTGACCACCACAGAGCCTGGCACACGTTAGCGTTCAGATAAAAGACCGTGGAGCAGAAAATTGCACCTTGGTGTTAGGTTATCAGTGGGGAGAAGGGGTGAGAGGTGACCAACCTTCAAAGGAGGGAAACAGTGATGTCAGCATAGCAGCATAGCAGAGGAAAAGTGTTTAGCGTATCTAGAGCCTCTCGGGGCTTTCGGTTTTGTGAGTTTTCACTGTCTGCAATTATCAGCAAATAACAGAAGCATTGTGGTGCATGTGTATGCATGTGTGTATACTATGTGTGCATACTACATATATAGTGTATGTGTGTATATAGTATATGTGTGTATATATAGTGTATATAGTATATTTATAGTATATGCACACACATACACACTGTATATACTTATATTTATCAAGCATATATATTTTGTATTTATGTAGTATGTATGATATATAATGTATATGATATACATGTAGTATCATATACATTTAGTATATAGTATACATATATATAGTGTATATAATATGCATATAATATAATATACATACAGTACATAGTGTGTACTATACAGATAGTGTATATACATGCATGCATACACTCTATACTTACCCTTATTGAGTATATATACTTTATAATTATGTGGTGTATATAATATACAGTGTATATAATATGCATATAGTATAATACATATAGACCCCATAGTATATAGTATACATATGCATACATACATATACACTATATGTATACTTATATTTATCAAGGAGAAATTCAGATACACCAAAAGAATATTTTGGGAGAATAGCCAAATGAGCCTCACACAGCCACACTTAGCTCTAACAACCAGGATCCCTGTCCAAGGACACTGCTTCCTATTCATCCTCAACTGCCCTCTATTATTTTGAAGCAAATCCCAGATGTGTCTCATTTTATCTGTAAATAATTTTGGTATGTTTCTAAAAGACAATGACTTTTTAAATGCAACCACAGTTTCATTATTACACTCCCCAAAGCAATTTCATAACATCATCAAATATCCAGTCAATGGCCAAGTTCATATTTCTTCCATGAATGCCATGCTTCCGTAGTTCTCTTTTGTTCGAATCAAGACCCAAATAGAGACAGTAATTGGCTGATTTTTTTTTTAATTTCTTTTATAAATATGTAGACTTCCCTCCATTATTTTTTCTTTCCTTTTGCAGTTTATTTATTGATGAAACAAGATTTACTTTTTGGTCTGATACAGCTTCCCACAGTCTGGAATTTGCTAATTTACTAGTTTAACACATTGCCCTGTGCCTGCATTTTCTATACATCAGTAATTGGGCCTAGAGCCTTGATCAGATTCAGGCTTGATGTTTTTGGCAAGACTTCACAGGGAGTGTGTTCTTCCATCAGGAAGCACATGATGTCTGGTGGTCTCTCTCGTGGTGATGTTCACACTCTTTGATGTCCGATGCTTAGATCAATGAGCACATCAAGGGTTGCAAATTGATGCCTTTCTTGTTCTACCAACTCTTTTTTATGGATCTGCTAGAATACTTCTAGATGGAGGAAAGGCCCCTCAATTATAATTTACATACTCAGTGGTACAATTCATATGGTACAATACATATGGAATGTTCCAGTCTTCCCCTTCAGTTATTTTCAACTAATGACTTGATTCCCTAGCATCTCACAAAGATGATTAATTAGGTGCATTTGTTTTTCATCAGTAATTTTGAACTCATGGATTCAAATACATTTGATGCGTTTTTATGTATCTTGGTTATTCTTCCTGTTGATGCGCAGGTTGTCTTAGCCGATGCCAATAGGAGCTTATCCCCGTTGACCCTGAGTACCTTTGACAAAAGCCTAGCAGTCTCTGATTGTGTCCTTGCTTCTTGGAATGACAAGGTGCTCTAGGTTTGTGTACATTCCTTGTCCAGATCCGGGATCAGTCATTTCTCCAGGGAGCTGTTTCCTTCTAGTGGAACATGGTACCAAAGGCCAAGATATGTGTGTTGGGGTAAAGTGGCTGTTGAGCAAGCATGTCATAGGGCATAGTCTTGGAAAAGAGGGTTGTGGTTGTTGAAAACATGCTTAGGCTTCACGTGTAAAAATGCTATTATACACACCGTCCTCCTCAACACTTTCATTAAATTTCTTGAACGTATACTGACAAAAGAGCTGTGAGGGTGGGCCATGCACTGAATGGCTTAGTTCTCTACTTAGAGCATCTCTTTTCACTTCTGATCACTCAAGGCAAGGTGGCCATCTAGCTCTGCATTCTGCGTGGGAGACCAAAGCTCAGAGACAAAGTCACTTGCTTAAGGCCAAACAGCTAATAATCAATAAAGCTAAGATTTGAAATGAACGCCTTTTTGACAACAGAATTCATCTTTCACATGTGGATTTTATATGAAGTAACATGAGAGAGAAATTTGGAGCTCAATGTAATGAGCAAGTTAAGTGCTTGAGGTCAGTCATGGAGTTTCATTTAGAACCCCGGGTGCCTCTGAAGTGACCTGGCAGTGTTCCCCTTGCTGGTAATCAGTTGTCCCTGGGTCCTTTCCCTGAGGAATGAGTGCAGTCTCAGTAGAGAACTACTTGGAAGAGCGTAGACTTCAGATGTGTGTGCGTTGGCCCATGTATACATTGACTGACACATGGCAGAACCAATGAGAAGTAAGGCAGGGAAAGTGGCTTCCAGAGGCAAATAGACCCGCAATAGAAGTAGGTCTCTTGTCTTATCTGCTTGACTTACCTGCTTGCCCGTAGGCCTCTGGAGACTCCCCATCCTTTCTTCAGTGCACTTAAGAGGATGCTACCTCTGTTTTATGAGGTAGTTCTGGAATGACTTTTTGTTTGAGAGAGAGAGAGAGAGAGCGTGCTCACATGAGCTAGGGAGAGGGACAGAGAAAGAGAGAGAGAGCGAGAGAGAGAGAGGGAAAATCTCAAGCAGGCTCCACTCTGAGCATTGAGCTTCATCCCATGACCTGGGATCATGACCTGAGCTGAAATCAAGAGTCAGATGCTCAACTGACTGAGCCAACTGGGCGCCCCATCTGGGACATATTTAATAAGCAGACTTTAAGGTTACCTGGCTTGTCATATTGCCAGAAACCTATGCATTTATGAGCAATCCTTCTTCCTCTTGGGAATATCTGGGAAGTTCTCCTGGGCTCTGCCACACAGAGACGCAGGGTACGCTAGACTGGGCAGGAGGTGTGTTAACCCCTCTGTCGAGTGACTCCCGGTATGGTTTCGGCAAGCCCCAGTCTCCTCTGGCCTGACTCTGATCATCAGTGAAAAGTGAGCGTGATTACACCTGATTCCAAAGTTCCCATACTCTAAAATGTTCATTTTGATGGAGTCCCATTTGCTCTGCTGTACTTTGCCGTAACTGCCACGGGGCACTGTGCTGAGTGCTGGAGAGACCATGCCAAGCAAGGTGCTCAGTACCCACCTGACCACGCAGCACTCAGCCATTCAGCGGGGAGGACAGGCCGCCGAGAAGTGAGGCTGGTCTCCAACCTTGCATCCTGGATGGGGTGCATGGAGGGGCTAGAGAACATCTCTAATGAGCATCCCATGAGGAGCCGGGGAAGGCTTTCCAAGGTGGTGACATCTCAACTGAGAACCAAAGTGTGACAAGAATGTGTCCAGGTAGAAAAGCAGGGCACACTCTTCCACGCAGAAGCATAGCATAGGGAAGATTCAGGGCAAGGGAGGGTTCTGCTCACGGGAGGACCTGAAACCACACACTAATGCCTTAATCAGTGGCCATATCTTAGATGCAGTATCCAGAAGCCAAATCCTAAGCTGGATGCACTCATAGCAGGGCGGACCGGGGTGGGGAACATCCCCTGTTAGGAGGTGGGGGCCACCACAGCAGCATCAGCCAAAACAGGCCATGCTGGGGAGTCTGGCCCTGCGTGTGCCCCCAGCATGTCCCAAGCAAGACGAAAGCACAGCACGAGGATCCTGGGATGCTGGCTCCCACCCTGCACCAGAGGTCCAAACTAGAGATAAGCTCAGTGTCAGGAACCAAGTGGGTGCCAGGATAAGGTGGTACCTGTTCAAGGGCAAATGGAGAAAGTTCCAGGACGATCTCCATGGGTGGCATTTCCGGGTGTTGTGAGCAGGTGTGACTGTGGCTTAACACCAGGGGGCAGTTAGCTACTCCTTCGAGGACAGTGAAGACCTGGCTTGGAAATCATAGCTACGGTAGGTTTACGGTATTTCCTTCTGACTTTACTTACTTGTTTTGTTTGTTTGTTTCGTAGGGACCCTCTGGACCACCAGGAGACAAAGGGCCCCCGGTACAGTATGAGTGAAATGAAGGGCTGGGCTTCATGGAGAAATTCTTTTCTAATTAAAGCAATTTTTTTATATTGGGGCAGCTAAATGAAAGTGGCTTCTGCAAATCCCTAATATCAAACAGTTCCAATCTCTAGAAAATAACCGCCAGTCTCTGGAGTGGTAGATTAGGAAGGGGATGGGTGGTCATCGAATCCGGTGTGTGCGTGCTAGAGTTGGGCAGAATGAGACTGGCTTTGCTTTTTTGGCGTCTCTGCATCACAGAAGGACAGCATAGCTTGACGAATTTTATCTAATTACCAGCAGAACTGCCTTTGAGTCCTGGCTTCACCACCCCCAGCCACATTATCCTGATCAAGTTGGGGGGGGTGGGGGGAATCTCTCTTAATCCGTAAAGTGGGCATGAAAGACCCATGGGCCTTTGCGGAGCTCTGATGGACTAAATACGGTGAAGCCACAGGAATGCTCTCCATAAACATTTGTTCTAAGGAGTGGCCGCCATGGGTGATAAGCATATGCATGCATTTACCAGGAAAATGTGAATTTCTACAAACTGCTCCCAGAGCGGGAGGAGCTGCATATTAGCACCGATGATGACATATTTTGCATGAAAATTCTGTGCACTCAGTGAGTTCTGAACCGAGAAATGGCGTTTTTATACCCATTTTTTATAGATGAGAAAACAGAGGCTCAGAGCAGTTAATTGATAGCCATCCGATTTCAGAACAAGTTAATGTAGCATAGCAATAGGGTTGGTGATACGGCGGATGGGGCTCCTACAGAGGGGTCGATGTGAAGGGGACATTTTGGGAAGTCCTCAGAGAGGCAGGGTTTGCTCCTGAGCTGCCGTGTGGCACAGTTCCGGCACCTGCCAGGACAGAGAGCTGATTCTATTTAAGGAAGATTTCCACAGGAAGGGAGAGCCACAGTGAAAAATATGTGTGAGAATTCCTGATACTGTCCAGAAATTTTCAACAGAATGGGAATGATTTTCTAATAGAAAGTAATAAATGTCCTCTACGTAGTGGACACTGTGCACAGCCGGCCAGCAGCCCACCAGATGCAGAGGGGTAAGCCCCGGTGCGCTCACCGCGGGAGCTGACCCTGTGACCCTTCCACTCAAGGAAGGGGCCTTCCTCCTGGGCCTGAGCAGGAGGGCTCACGGTGAAGGTGTTCCAGAGCATTCTGTGTGTGTGTGTGTGTGTGTGTGTGTGTGTGTGTGTGTGCACGCGCGTGTGTGTGACACTCCCACTTCCACAGCAATGGGGAAATGAGTAATCACTGAGCAGGGAATCTTGGCACATGCATTATATCAGATTCCTCATAGTAACAGGCCATTTGTACAATGGGAACCAACTATTGCCAAGGAATGGGGGACCTAATTTTGCTTAAGCTGTTGGCGAGTGACTTGCCTTCTTTTTTCCTCAGGGATCCCGAGGCTTACCCGGATTCCCCGGCCCCCAGGGACCAGCTGGCCAGGACGTAAGTAATGAGAAATGGTACCCACTCAGCTGGGGTTCTTATGGACCCCCCTGGAAGCCCACTGTCCTCCACCGTCTCCCAGCCTCCCCTTGACCAGGGAACCTTGACCAGGGCACAAGGAGGAATAGTGCTTCTCCACTAATCCCTGCCCCTTCCCCAGGAACATTTTTAGATTTTTGATCTATGACCTAGGTTGATCGTGACCTATGACTTTGTATTGTCTAGTTTTACTCCTTATGCTTTTGTGTTATGCTTTCAGAACCTCATTAGCTCCCAGTGTCCCATACAATGCCTCCTTTTTTTTTTTTTTTTTTTTTTTTTTTTTTGTCAATTTCCTTACCTGGTCCTATCTCCTCAAGTCAGGTACCATGGACTTGTTCTCTACGGACTTGTTCCTGACCCATCCCTGCAAGGGCTTTCTCCCTTATCTGATGCTAAAGGTGCATCACTTCTGACATCGTGATGACGATAGTCATCTCTTAGTATCCATTGTCTGGCTTCTGCTCAGATTGATCTGAGCTCCAAGAAGATAGGGACCATGTGTCTTCTACATGGGTGTTGCTCACTGCATCCGCTGACCGGATGGTAGGCTGGCAACAATGAGTTCCTATGAAACAAAGATGTCTGGCGCCATTAAGCGGTAGCATTTACTCTTAGACATGCATCTCTCCATCTATACTTTCAGTTCACTATGGGCAGGGATGATCAGTCACCCTCCCCTTCCCTTCCTTGGTTCCACTGCAGAGGAGGAAGTTACACTCTAGAGCCTGTCCACATATTCTCATTTACCTGCCCCAATCTCAACGTGCTATTAGAACCAGTCCTGCTCTCCAAGCTGGCCCTTTCACCTGTGTTTGGAGAAGGATGGTGGGATGTGTGCAGGAGCCATTTGCAGCTTTGCATTTTGGATAGGAGTCATAGGAGGGTTGGCATATTCTAAATATTTGCCACAGTTGAATACTTTCTGGGAAGCGTTGAGTCCTTGGTTGAGGTTGCAAACCATGCCTTTTTATTGGTGCCAGTCTTAACGGTTGGGTGAATTTTTTCAACCCTGTTACACTTGGCGGATACAGAGGTGGGGGGGGGGCGGGCATGAGCAGAGTGGCTCTGGATGATGAGCTTAGCACAGTTAATGTTTCATTTCTTTCTTCTCTTAGGGTGTACCAGGAAATCCAGGAGAAAGAGGGCCTCCTGGAAAACCAGTATGTCATCTCACTGTTCTGGATGAATATTGACTCTCAAGTCAGGGCTCCAGTGAGAATAAAACACAACTCAGATAGTGTGAGAGGCTGAAGGAGGGACTTCTCACAGAGCCATGGGCGGGGGGCTGATCTGACATGCTGGGGAGCCCAGAGATAAGCCACGGTGGGAGGCCGACATAGCCATGACCCTGACCCCAGTTTTCAGCACCAAGTGAGAGCGCAAGGGTGGGGAAGGGCTGCCATATTGGAGCTGTCGTTGTGGGTTCAAAGCCACTGCCAGAAAGCTGGGCCCAGCATGGGAGCAGGGTCTCCCCAACTCCACTTTCCTGAAGGTAGCTCTCCTCCTTGTCCACCTTAGCCAAGGCCAGCAGGTACTTAGCCCCATGACACATTCCCCACGGTGCAGCCTCAGGTTGTTGAGTAGGACAGAGGGTAGAGAGTGGATCTGGGGGCGGGCAAATGGACCCCACTGTACCTTGCAAATTCCTAACTGGCCCATTTCCTGCCCCTGTCCAGTATGTGAGCGCCATCCGGTTCCCCTTTTATATGATGGGAATGGTGGTAGCCATGGGGTTGCTGGGAAATGGCTGGTCCATGTGCTGGCTCCTTGGTGGTCTAGCCCATGGCTCCCGCTTGCCGGGAAATGACTGGTCCTACACGTCGGCTCCTTGGTGGTCTAGCCCAAGGCTCCTGTGGGCTCCCTCACGTGCATCATGCATATCCCCCATGTTGCTGTTGGTAGAGAAGCCCAAAGGCTTGGCCAAGTGACCCAGCCACTGGATGGGGTAGAGGGGGCCCTGCAAGAAAGGAGTGGTGAAGATGAGCGATCCAGGCAGGCGGGCAGCGGTGCAGACGCAGGAGAAACTGGTCCACTGATCCACTGAAAGACGTTACCCAGGAGGAAAGAGAGGGTAGCATCAGGGCTGGGGATTGTGAGGTCACGAGGGGGAGATCATAAGTCTGGTTCCGAAACCAAGATGCTCACGTGCCAGAAGCTTCAGCTCAAGCTGGACCTGAGAGCGTGAGTGTCCTGTGAGCCTGACCTGGAGAACTCAGACAAGCACCCAGGGCTCAGAGGCCACTGTGGGTGCCAGCAACCTTCACACCCTCTCCTGGGGTGCTGGGCACAGAGGAGACCTGGATGGGGATCCTGGTCTATTCAGAAGGGTTCTGGAGGCCGTACCCGTGCGACACGTGACAGGTCATGTGAGAGATGAGGGGGCCGCTCACTCACCCTCCTCCTCTGCCCAAGCCAGCTCTGCAGCAGTGAAGTCAGCCCCACAGAAGCCACGTCATTAGCCCGTGCAAGGCCCCGATGACGCGAGGGGAGAGTAAGGTTCAGGCCGGAGACTAAACGGGGGTTCAAATGACCTCTGCCAAATCTAGCCCTTGACACCTCTCTGCAAAGAGAATTAAGCCAACACACAGACTGCTGGCAATGTGCAGAAGCATGACTGTCTTATAGCTGGTCACCTGCAGAGGGAGAGGGAGAGAGGGAGGGCGGAAGGGGAGAATAGAGAGAGGAGGGAGAAGAAATAGGTCTGTTTCTCATCACCATTAAATTCACTGAATGCACTGCCCACAAATGGTCCCAGATACATCCCAGTAGCTGTTGGGGTCTCTGCTCTTGCTGGTCAGAGGGGGTCCCCAAGCCCCCTCAGGCTCAGTGATTCACCAGGAGGACTCCTGGAACTCAGGAAGGCAGCTCCACTCACAGTGACGATGACTGTTCCTTATGGAGGGAGGACACAGGTGGCAGCCACACGGGAGGATGCAGAGGCACGGAGCACAGGGCTCCCCGTGTGTCTCCCCTGGAGGGCATGTGGGGACAGCACTTCACTCCCCAGCAGTTTCCTGGGGTCACACGGATGTGAGAGGGCAGCAGGTGCTCGGGGAAAGCATGGCATGTCCCCAGAAGGGAAGCTCACCCAGGCCCTACCAGGTGAGGGGTGTGAGGGCGTCGAGGTTACCCGTCAGGAACTGGCAAGGTCAGAGTGAGTGGGTTTGGACGCCCCTGGCTGGCTGAGTTCAGCCTTTACTGCACGGTCCCAGAGCACTTCTCCGGCGCTGCACCCACAGGACTCCTGTGCTGGGCATCCCCGTCCAGGGTTGGGCCCCTCTCTGCGCCTCTAGCAGGGACTCTTGGGCAGCAGATGGGTTGAGGGTGAAGCCCGTGGGGATTGAGGGAGGCAGGACAGGGCGGGGGAAAGGCAGTCTTGGCCTGACCCCATGGGGATCTGGATCTGTGAACGGCACCACGGCACTGTCCCACCTTGACACGAGGCCACTGTGTGTCACCCCTGTATGGGTCAGTCCTGCATTTCCAGCCTGCGTCCCCGGCAGCTGGTGGAGCGATACATGAGGAGGCGAGGAGGGCTCAGACTGGCCTCAGCACTTCCCACTGTCTGTTTGCCTACCTGTCCGGCACTCCTGGAATGATCCATGTGTGAGTGACTCCTCAGAGGCCAGCCTGGCAGACGGCTAAGCACCTTGTGCCCACCCTCGGAAGGCACTGCACCCCACAGACCCATTCCTGTCTGTTCTTATGTGACCTGCCCCAAGAGGTTTATGGAAGAGGGTACAAGGCATTAATTAAACTCTTCCCCGAGGCCACGCTGCACCTAGACTGAACATCTGCTCCCTGTTCTGTCTCTCTGTGAGTGCTGCCTGGCTGTGTGGTCTGATGTGGCCCGACTGATTACACAGGGGGCCCTCATGACTGCATGGAAACATCACAGCTCATGCGATGCCAGCAGCATGCACATGTCCCGATTTGAACAGTATTAACTTCCCAGGGAAAAATGTAAGGCTTCAGGATAAAACCTCTTTCTGCTTTTAAATTAAAGTTTCAATAAACAATATTGCAGAGGTAGGCCTTCCTGCAGAGGGTCTCGCTCAGAACGAGGGAGGTCTCGGCTTCTGTTGTAGCAGCCACACTCAAAGTGAGCTCTGCCTGTGGGGCTGGCACTGCCTGGGCATCTCCAAATCGGAGTCTGCCAGCCTTTGTCCTGGGTATCCACCTTGGGTCACAGTCCAGAGGGATGATAGAGCACCTGTACCCAGGAGCCCGGGGGACCACACCCATCCACAGTCACTACCAAGGTTATCCTAGGCAAACGTACGTGGTGCCGACACATGGCTTTGGTTAGCCGCAGGGTGCGGCAGGAGCCCTGGAGGGTCAGGGAAAGGGGTTTGGTAGCCTGGAAAATGGTATTGGTGTCAGCGTCCCCAGGATGCTAGAGGTAATTCATAATTCATAAACTCGAACACAGACTTAATCAAAAGAATTCAGCAGTGTATGTTCACTTGTGGCCACAGGCTTCCCATATTATAGAGGAAAATCTAATACCTTCCCCTGGAGACTGGATTCTCTGGCACTCTTTCTCTGTTGCAGAAGTTAGAAGTTTGCAAAATAACCATGTCCCTCTACTCCAGTTCTACCTAAGAATTCTCTCTTGCTTCAGTGTCTGCCTTTTAAGCATTGCTTTCCCTCCAGCTGTGTATTCCTTATACCCCAGTATGAACCCAGCCTCCACCCCACCTTGGCCATAATCCTAACACAACACATCCAACTCAGTGGGTTTGACTGCAAATTTGGGGACCTGCAGACTTCTATGTACATACCTTCAGAGGCTCTGTAATTACCCCTGACTAATGAGATCTCCTTCCCAGAATTAGCCCTCCTTCAACCCATAATGAAGGGTGAGGATTAGAATGCAATTTCACTGGGGAGAGCTGGAAAAGTGGCTTTAAATTCATAGTAGGTTGTCAATGACTGATGGCAACGGCTCTTACCCATCTGGGGAATCCAGGATAGTGCCTCCCTTTGCCTTCCACAGCACCCATAGGACCTATGAGGTTTTGAGGGGGGCGGGGAGGAGAGGCCACCAGGAGAACGGGCCAGCAGAAGGGGACAGGGGACCAGAAAGGCTGATGTCAGTCAGAATTGGTTAGGACTGACAGCCTGTATGGTGACCTCAGAAGTGACTTCTTCCCGTGCCACCTCGGCTTGGGACATACGCAGGGCTTTTTGCATGGTGTGCAGGGCACAGGTGAGTTCTGCGTGATGGGGCGCACTTTGAAGCCCTTACACTGTCTGAGCTAGAATGGGATACACTGTGTGCACGTTCCTGTGTGTGTCCGTATTGACTTCTTTTTACTTTGGCAGGGGCCTTCTTCTCTACTGTCTCCAGGGGACATAAATCTCTTGGTCAAGGTAAAAGCATGAAGCAAATGTGCATGCGTTTTGAAAATGGTGATGGGAAGTTGGAGATCTCAATAAGTTGTGGGGGTTTTTGTTTGAACAACCGTGTGTTAGTGTCAATGAGGCCAGCAGCAGTATTTGTTGAGAACTCCCTGTGTGCCCAGCGATGCGCTAAATCCTCTTTCTCGTCTGGCAGCCACCAGCCATGGGTGTCAATTTAACTTTAAGTTAACTAAAATTAAATGCAATTAAAAATTCGGGTCCTTGGTCCCACTAGCCACGTTCCAACCACATGATGGCCAGATGTGGCTAGAGTCTGTCTTATTGGAATGATACAGATACACAGCATTTCTGTCCTCACAGAAAGTTCTCCTGTGCAGGGCTGTGCTAAATGCTGGGTGTGTATCTCTCTCTTCTACAATTGCTCTAGGAGGTTGGTACCGTTTGCATTGTAGGTTGGCATGTAAGGAGCCTGAGACCCTGAAGGTCAGTGTCTTTCTAGGAATGCAAAATCCAGTCCTCGCTGATTTCAGAGACTGACCTCTAACCCCACACAGGGCTGTCTCTCGTGTTCTGAACAGGGGGCCGTAGGCAGAGTCAGGCAGCTTGGGTGTGCATCCTGCCAATGCAAGGGCCAGGGTATGGGTGCAGGGAGGTGAAGGCCACTGCTGGGCCCCTTGGCCGGGAGGAGACCAGACCTGGGTTCAGACTTAGATGGTTTTCCGAACCTGTCCATCTTGTCCATGAGTGCCGAGAGCCCTGAGAAGCTAGACATCCCTCTGCTGAGATTGAGCCAAAACCACTAGGTGTCCAGGTGCCTGACCAAGGGCCTCGGGCCTTAAATGGTGGAGGCCAGGACAGGCTGTGAGCAAGACAGATGCATAAGGTCTGTGCTTCAGAAAGAACAGTCTCACTGCAGTGAGTGGGGAGGACACTTTTCCTGGCTCTGTGTCAAGCCTTTGTCTTAATTTAGGGTGTAGCTTGGCATTTTGTGATCAGCCTCTTCCTCACTTCCTGCATTCCAAACACTTGGGTGATGTCAAAACAAACAAACAAACAAACAAGAGTTCATGTCTGAGAGCAAGGGAGGAAAACAAAAGGGAAAAGAAGACCTTTCCAGAAGCCTGAGATTTGTAATCTCTGTACACATTGAGATGCCTTGATAGAAAGTTATACATTTTATTTTCTTTTTTTTTAAGTAGTAGTAGAAAGTCTTTCCTGATTTTAATTGACAAGAGAAAGCTTTTTTCACAGTCAAGGACATGACAAGAAATCATTACCTATTGATTCAATTCCTTGTTTATCGCAGGGTTTTATGAGCCTAAATCATTTCTCATAATTCCACTGCTCTAGAAGGAGCTGGGTTTGCATCAGCCCTATCCCTCCCCTGCAAGGATTTCTACCTCAAGATGTCCCAGCCTTTCTGCCAATGATAACAGTAATGTGGAGCCTCATGCTTTATGGCTACAGCATTGAAAATGACATTTAGTCAGCTTGGTGTTCCTTACTTGCTACAGGGTGCAGCTGTGTTCCTCAGAGCAGCTGGGCACCCCGGAAGGAAGTGGGCACCCACACTCAGGGTGGTGCCTGAGGCTCCCTGGAGCCATGGAGCTGCACTTTGCCTGGAAACCCTGTAGACAACAGCCTGGGGCCAAGTGGGTTTGCCCAGGTCAGCAGAGTGTACTATTATCGTTCCCTACTTTATAGCAGGTTAAAGACTGCTGGTCTGGGCCAGGTGGCTGGTGGAAAGTCCCTCCCTTGCTGAGAAGGCACCTTTTATTGCAGAATATTTATCTCTGCCCCCAGGAATTTATACCATCACATACTTCATTCTCATAGTTGGAAAACTGCCTGGGTAGAAAGTTCATCTCCTAAGAGTCCTGGTTAAATGAACTTCCACAATTGGATGTGTGCCCAGCAAGGTCATCCTCAGGATATCTCCATCAATCAGATGGCTCCCTTGGAGAAATATTATTTCATCTGATCTTCACAAACAACCCAGTGGGTGGGCGCTGTTACGTCTGCATTTTACCAAGGAGGAGGTTGAGCCCAGCTGGGGAAGGCACTTACTTGTTCAAGGTCACAGAGCTGGATGATGGCAGTGCTGAGACCCAAACCTCGTGTGGCCAGCTGCAGGCCCCCGTGTTTAACGCCCCTGTCATCTGACTTCATCTTGCATGGGCCAGAGCTTGTGACAGCTACCTGATAAAGTACAGATAGGTGGGGAGTTTCCTGCCTGTCACCTGGAGCTTGGATGGGTAGGCTGCACGGTGGCCCTTTGGCAGGGATATTGCAGCAAGGATTCAGGTATCTGGCAAGAGGTTGGGTAAGATGACCTGGAGGTTCTCTCTACTCCTGGAAAGCAACAACTGCTTTCTTCACAAAGCAAAGTCTGTGGCATTCCTCCCTTTGGTAGGCATTTTCTGGTGCATTTACCTGCTGTACTGTACCCTGATGACTACCAACCCAGTGAGCTGGGTTTGATGAAAACATCCCAGACAAAAGAAAGGGGGTAGAGACCAGAGGGAATCAGCATTTATAGACCCCACACAAAGAACCCTGCAACACAACTGGAGCTCTGCCTGCATTATTTCATTTAGATTTTGTAACAATCCCCTAAGGAAGGAGGATGACCCTACGATAAGGGAATGGACTCAAAGGCATTGAGTGAGTTGCCTGAAGCTCGGTTAAGTAGAGAAGTTGGCAGCCAGTATTGATGACCAAGAGCATCTTATCGGCAGATGAGGCAAGACAGCAGATTCAGGGAAGGAAAGACTAACAGAAATCGCAGGGGTACATTAGCAGCTAGATTCGTTGTGCTGTCACCATGTGCCAGGCATGGCGTCAGGCATTTTTCATGCATTATCTTGTTTATTTCTCACCGGACTTTGAGGTCCTCTGTTCACAGATTAGGAGGCTGAGACTCAGTGGGGTGAAGCCAGGATCCCAGGTGGGCAGAGGCTTCGTGTGGTCTCTTGCAAACAGAACCCTATTTAGTCTCAAGGCATTTGGGGTAGCCCAGGGCCGGGAAAAACCGGGGGTCCCAGGGGCCAGAGTGAGCATCGATGCGACTGCAGGTTGGGGGGCTGCTCTCACTGTGTTCCCTGGATTCCTGGACTGGGTCAGTGTGGTAAGTCCAGCCCCCACACTGTTAGGTCTGGGGACCTGCTACAACTCATCTTCAATGAGCCATCCTACACAGAATCTGTGACGAAGACAGACCCAGGCTGCGAGCCCTCCAGAAATTGGAAAGAAATAGGGAGGCAGGGAGATTTTATATTAGGTAGATATAGATAACCCCTTCGTGGTGTGGATCCCACCACAAAGAATGGTTCCGGATCACCACTGTGTCCACCAGTGCCTCTAGCCACAGCTCAGTGGCCAGAATCTCTGGTGCCCCCAGGTTAGCCCCATTCCCACAGAGCATACACCCATCGCTGCAGAGTTTCATAGAGATACCTCATTTGAAAGAACCACAAGACAAGGTCTAGGAATAGGGGATTTCCTCCCAAATCTGCTATTCTTCCAAACAAAACACACCAGCCAAAACTAGTATACTTTGATTTGTGTCTTTCACCTTCACTCCGTACACCCCAACATTTGGCACTCCCCAGCCTCTAGAAAACATTCAACCAGCAGCTCAGACCACCTGCTAAAAGAAGATGGCACAGGACGTCAAAAGGTCAGAGGGTCAGTAGGGCAGTTGGGTTGGTTAGTTCATTTACTTATTGAACTCGTGATGGGCAGGAGGCTCTTTGCTCTGAATTGGACATGTAAAGATAAAGCAACTCTATCTCTGTCTCTGAGAGCCCACGCCTTCTTTTTGCATGGCGGGGAAGGGACGGACCTGTACACGGACCACGTCAGCAGCGAGGCAAGCACTTCAATAGCAGGAGTTCCTGGGGCTGTGGGAACAAGAGTCAGAAGCAGTCCCCCATCTGAAGCAATCAGGAAGGCTTCTTGGTGCAGGAGATTTCTAAATACTCTTCAAAGGTTACATACGAGGGGCGCCTGGGTGGCTCAGTCGGTTAAGCATCTGACTCTTGATAACTGGTTCAGGTCATGATCATATGGTTCCTGGGATTAAGCCCTGCGTCGGGCTCTACACTGAGCATGGAACCTGCTTGGGATTCTCCGTCTGTCTCTCTCTCTCTGCCCCTACCCCACTTACGTTCTCTCTCTCTGTCTCTCTCAAAGTAAACATTTGTTTAAAAGGTTGAGTAGCAGTGAAGCAAATGAAAGGAAAGTAAGCCATTCAGAGTTGCTTTTGTGAGTCAGAGACCATCCTAGTTAGAGACCAAGAAGAATGCTCAGTTACCCACACTGTCACCTTTAGTATGCACACGTGCAGCTGCCACGGGCCTGTGCACACGCCTCTGGTGGAGCAATCAGAAGGCTGTGGTTGGTGCATTTGTTTTGTGCCAATGGACGCCATGTAAGCATGAACTCTTCAAGATACGTACTCACCGGGTCTCAAAGCAGAAGGGTGTGGAGCCCAACTGGATGCTTTGCAAGTAGTTTTGCACTGAGGGAGTCACTGAGTGCAGGCATGAATTGAGGCTACTGCCTAAATGCACTGGGAATGATCTCACATTATTCTAAGTGCCTCCTTTGTATGATCTCATCCAATCTTTGTCACACGAGGGGAGGGAGGATTGCAGAGAAACTAGCAGGACTCTGGGATAGGACACAGGCTACAGTGTGGTCAAGCCAGTGAGTTTTATTTGCTGCACACTGCACTCCAAACTGCAAGGTCTTGGGATGACACAGACAAATTAGAAATCATGTTCCCTGGGCTCAGAGGACTTCAGAATCATGCCAGGGACATCACTCACCTGCCTCAAAGCAGTAGAGCAAAGGTCAATTCCTAGGACCGTTTATGAAATGCTTGCTTTGGACAAAGAACAATGCCAGGTGTGTGTGGTCACATTGGGTGTGTGCCCATTGCTTCCTTTGTTCGACTGCTTTGTGTACAAACCACTTAGGCAAACGCACAAGACAGAGAACTTGGCTTCCAGCTTGGTTCTGTCGCCAGCTTCAGAGACGGGTCATGTTATTTTGTAAGAATACTAAATGTTTGCATCAAATCTGTAATGTTATTAAATGCTCATAGGGAGTGGTGCGCTTTTGACATCATTGTTGTGGGCTCTACTTCGAGCAGTCTGGCTGGCTAGAAGTAGAGAGAAGGGAGGGAATAATCCAGATGTATCAGTACTAAAATCTAATTTAAGATTGAGAGAAAAATGCAAAGTTAGACACAAATGCTCTGGGTAATGACTCGATCCACCCATTTGCTTTTATGTCACTTGCACGTGTCTCCTTTTGCTCTACCAGTAACTATTACTTACTGTCTGCAGGATGTGTGCAATGACTGCCCTCCAGGCCCCCCGGGCCTTCCTGGTCTGCCAGGTTTTAAAGGGGACAAAGGTCTCCAGGGAAAGCCAGGGAGAGAAGGCACAGAAGGGAAAAAGGTAAGGAGAAAGGGGGAAACTTTGTCCTTGTCACCGCGATGAAATGTATCATCTTTGGAGATCACAGCCCTGCCTCTCTGGTACAGATGTGGGGGGAGCCTACTCAAGGGTGTGAATATGGGAGGCAGGGGGTCATCTTGGGGACTGGCCACCCCATTAGACGTGGGCTATGCCCATGAATGCATGGTCACACTCAGTACTGCCACCTGCCCACACCCTTTGCTCAGACATGCTGGATGGAGGCAGGAGACGGAAAATTCAGCGGGAAATCAGTGAATAGGTGTGTCAGGGCAGCAGCTTGCTGGTGACTCTGGGTATAAGCTCCAGACACTGATTCTTACTGTTTTTTTTTTTTTCCTGTTCCTGCTACAGGGAGATGCTGGGCCCAGGGGCCTCCCAGGGCCTCCAGGAATCGCTGGACCACAGGTCAGTGAGCCCTCATTGACACTGAGTGCATCCTTTCTGCTCATGTCACTGGTTAATCCAAGTTTGAGGAAGAGTAATGTCCAGTGTGAAGGAATAATGGTTTCAAAACAATGACACCCACATTCAGGGTCTAACCATGGCTCCGACTCTCTCAGTGACCTTGGGAAGGGGCACTTGAACTTCCTGAGTCTCAGGTTGCTCATCTACAAATGCCTCAGTGGTTGAATAATGAAGTGAGCTAGGGGGTTGGAATGGGGAGTCCTCACTGGTTAAGACAGGAGCTTTGGGGTCAGAGGGCTCTGAATTTGAATACCAGCCCTGGGTCGAGTCAGAGCTGTGTGGTCTCAGGCAAAATCTTTGACCCTCTGGACCTTAATTTCACCACCCAATAATAGAAAGAATAAAAGCAGCGTCAGGGGGCACCTGGATGGCGTGGTTGGTTAAGTGTCGAACTCTTGATCTCAGCTCAGGTTTTGATCTCAGGGTCGTGGGTTCGAGCCCCATGTTGGGCTCTGTGCTGGGTGTGAAGCCTATTTAAAACAAAAACAAAAAACAAAAGCAACTTCAGAGATGTGTTAGAATTGGACAATGTAATGCACAAAAAGAACTAGTCACTCAGTAAATAACCTCATTAGGCAAGTGCTGTGCCAGTGTGGGTGAGTGTTACTACCACTCACAGGAATGACGAGGTGCCCATCTAAAATGGGCAGGGAAGCTCTGTGCTTTCATAAAGCCAGGAAGACCAGCCCGGGAAGAAGGAGCTGTGATCTCGGCCATAGAACAGGAGTGGAGGCTCTGGCAGCCGAAAACAGGTGTCTGGGCTGTGTATTTGAACTCCTTGTGGTGATGGTACATAGCTCTAAGCGCGAGAGACTGTGTGAGTGCAGACGTGGGGCCAGGAGGGCAAGAGAGCTGACCCTCCACCCTCAGTCACCTTCCCCCACCATCAGTGCCCCTGGGGGCTGTCCGTAATCACTACCTTGGGGACCCTGTGCTTTTGCAAGCTATGCACGCTACCCTACCCCGACATTCAGGAGCAAATGTGTCACTGTGTCTCTTCCTGTGGCCTGGCTGGGACATGGCATGGCTTGTCTGACATGAAATTCAGCAGAAAATTGTCAGTAGGAGAGAGCGAGCTCAGGAGCCAGATCTCTGGAGTTGGCATTCCCACTCAGCAATGACCTTGGGCTAGCTTCTTACTTTTGCCCTTCCCTTTCCTGCTGACAAACTGAGAGGTACAAAAGCAGTCACCTTCCAGGCCTGTGGCCCTGAGAACTGCTGAGGGTGCCTCCACCAGACCTGGCACTATCCAGGCCCAGCACCAACCTGCTTCTCCTGCTTTTTTAGCCCGTGGGGTCACAGCAGTGACAGGGCCGGGACTGGGGTGAGGACCTGGACGTAAGATGTAAGGGAAGCCCAAAACCTCAGTAACCAAGATAAATAGGACTTTAGTGCAATATTTTAAAAAGTTTAGAATTAGTACAGTTGATTCACAAGGAACAAAATGTCACTATTTTATTTTTAAAGTTTTTTTTAAGTTGAGAGAGAGAGAGAGAGAGAGAGAGAGAGAGAGAGAGAGAGAGAATGAGTGGGGGAGGGGCAGAGAGAGAGGGAAAGAGAGAATCCCAAGCAGGCTCCTTGCTGTCAGCACAGAGCCTGATGCGGGGCTTGATCTCATGAACTGTGCGATCATGACCTGAGATGAAATAAAGAGTCAGACTTTTCACTGACGGAGCCACCTGGGCACCCCAAAATTTTCAATAAAGATGGGACCTAACCCTACACTTGAACCATTCACCTTCCTTAAACCCCTAATCCCAGCCCTGTGGGAGCCCCATTTATTTACATTTGTATAGTTTGTTCATCTCGGATTATTTGGCACTGATTTTGACTTTGAAGAACACAGCATTGGACTATTATTAATTTTGGATACTGAGCTTTCCAGAGTTCCTTACATGTTACACCCAGGGCAAGTGCTCACTTGCCTTGCTCCAGGGTCAACCCTGAAAATGGAGTTGGACCTCTTATTATTATATTAGAAAGCAAGGAAGCCAACACTGCGGGGTAACAGCAGGGCGCTCCCTGGAACAGTTGGGCATCGGGATGGCAAACATCCAGATTTCCCAGGCCTGCCTGGCAGGCTAAGACATAGAGTGTTTGTGATCCATAGACTTTGTGAAGTCTTACAGGGTTTTGACATACCCAGGGCTCTTGCTTTAGGAACTACAGCTATCAGGTTTCAGTGTAGATGGAATAAGAGATTTTTTCCTGGGCAGTGTTAGTTGAGAGACACCCGTAAAGAGTAGCATCACCTGTGCTATTTACCCTGAATTACTCCCCCTTTCTGGGGTCATCAGCTGGGGCTAAGCTCCTTGCCTGGAGGATTCTGCAGGCTAGTTTCAGCTGATCCTTAAGTAACCTTTGCTGTCAACTCACAGGCTGCTGGGTTTAGCCTCTGCTGAGGAATGGCTTTTTATGCAGAGAAACAAAAGCAAATCAATTAAACAGATAAGGAGTTCCCTCCACTAAGTAGGGATTGTTTTCTTTATCGGCCCAATCCCACTTGAAGTGCTGGTGTCTTGGGACAATGGCTCTGCCTTTGTTCCTTGATAATTCGCTTCTAGAGAGGGTTTGTTCCTTTACATATTCAGAGAAAGCCAAAGAATGCTTCCACCCAGAAAAAGAACAGAAATTAGTGCTGCAGCTGAAAGACAGGGTTCTAGCTGTCTCCACTTGGGAGTCCATCATGACCTTGAGAAGTTGGCAGGTGTTAGGGTCCACCCTACATAATGAGCTCCCAGGCAGTTACAGTGGGCAGCATACGCAGTATGCTCAGGTTACCTGCTTTACAATATCATCTCTTGAAACGGTCAGCATCATGCTAGGAGGTACACATATTGTCCCATTTTACAGATGAGGAAGCAGAGGCTTAGCAAGATTTAAATGCCAGTACTACCAAACTACTAAGTGATACTGCAGAGGGGAATCCCTGCTGGCAGGACTCGAAGACCTCCTACCCCCTGTTAGTATCCCCTAGGGGTTTAACCCTAGTAATATTAGGACCAACTCCAGCACCAAGGACAGCTCCCCACAAGGCCCTCCTACCCCCTGTTAGTATCTCCTAGGGGTTTAACCCTAGTAATAGTAGGACCAACTCCAGCACCAAGGACAGCTCCTGGTGGGGCGGAGGCTTCTCCTTACCACCACCTACTGTTGGGGAAGTGAGTCACAGAGGAGTTAAATAGCTCATCTGAGGACTCACAGGCTTGCCTTGATTCTTCTCTTCAAACCCAAGCCACTCCATGCTCATTATTCATCCCACTCCACTCTCCAGAAAACAGACGGGAGGACTGTTTCATTTTCTCTCGCTTATCAAACAAGATCTCAGCTTGACCTGCAGACATGAAGATGAATTTGTACACTGAAAATGCTACCAGTGGCTGAGCACTTACAAATATTTTCTCGTTCTTTCGTAGCCAGACGTCCCTGTGTTCACTGGTCATGTGCATCACCAAGGGCATTTGTTTGTTTGTTTGCATTTGCAATCCTGCATCTGGGAAATCAGCTTCCCTAAGATTTATCTTGCAGATTTGCAGCGGCTCTGACTGCTGGCTGGGCCTGGGGAGGTCACTGTCATGATCAATTACAGCTTCATTCTAGAGCTTTCATACTGCACAAAACATTGACTTTCAGGGATGGGGTCTGGGGATAGTGGCAATTTATTTGACTTTTCTGAATCGAGGGTCTGTCGTCTCTAAAAGAAGAACCATATGGCCTATTTCACAAAGAGGATGTTGAGGATTAAACAGGGAGGCATTTACAGGGCATCAGGCGTGGTACCAGCTGGGTACAAGGAAGTGCTGGGTACATCTAACTGTAAGTGGTCCTCCTAGTGGTTTCTCTGTTTGAATGAATAACAACTGTAGCAAAGGGTCAGTAGAAGAGTAAATGGCTTGAAGGAAAATAATGCCATTGGGCAAAGTGTTACTTAGGAAGGCCACCTGGAAGAGGTGATTTTAGTTGCATCGGAAAGTGAGGCAGGGATGTGCCAGGCATCCTGGGGGACAGGTTTTCTAGGCAGTGAGATAGCCCATGGAAATCCAAGGACAGGCCTTATCCTGCTAGTAGCAGAGACTTCGTTAATTTGAGAAAGTTTAGGCCCTGCCCTCAACAGTCTGTAAACCCCTTGAGAGAACTGCCTTTTTGGTGGATTCACAGAAACCCACATCCTTAGAGCAGCCCCTGGTAGGAACATACCCTCTAAGTAGTTGTGACATCGTGTGCTTAGCACATGGTGACGTGGAAGAAATGTAATTAAAACCGAAACAGAATCTCCTCCCAGTCCAGAAAACCTCTCCACGAAGGTGGAAGAGAAGGAAAACAGTCCTCTTATTGAGTAAACATGGCTGCAGAGGGTGAAGCACGTCAGGCAGAAATCTCCCTCTGTCCTGCAGCCAGGCAGCTGCACCTGCTGTGTGCAAGTCCTCAAGACCAACAATAACTGGGCCTCAAGTAAGAGGACTTCATAGCACCAGGTGTCACGTACGTTCATCCTAAATTTTCCTGGCAATTCGGTGATCGTCTGTGTTAGTCAGCTTTAAAGAAAGGAAAAACAGGCTGTCCATCTTAATGACGGGAAGTGTTCTGCAACTTGGAGCAAGGTGCCTGGCTTTTCAGTTGGGCTCCCTTCCCCACAGAGGCTTGGAGACAGAGACCAAGGGGGGGGAGTGCTCTCTTTCTGGATGATTGATTACATTTCAAAGGGACGGTTGCCAGGTCCTTGAGAGAGACATTTCTGAATCCTAGATCTGGCAGGACTTATTTAGCTGGTAAAAGGATTTACATACATTTCAAAGAGAAAGAACCCCACAGTGACAAGTTTTCTGAAGTAAATGCTCTAAGAAAAAGGTTTGGGGAGAGAATCTCTTCCCTTCTGTTCATGGGGAGATTTAAGCCCTTACAATGACTCTGAATAAAGATCATCTAAGAGAACTGAGCTAGTAACGAACTAGCAATCTCCCTAGAATATAAAGTCCAGGTGGGCAGGGACTGTGTTGTTGTTTTATTGGTTGCTGTATCTCCAGTGCTTAGAAAGGTTCCTGGAGCATGGTGAGTCAGACTTCTAGACTATAGATGCTATGTTCTTGACATTAGAAAACCCGTGGGACAAGGTGTCATGCCCAGGAAAATAGCCAGAAAAGTAACTTGGGCGGGGAGAGACAGTTTGAATACAGACAGATCTGCATTAGAGTCCCAATCTTGCCTTTCATTAGCTGTGTGACCTCAGGTGAATGACTTAACCTCTCTGGTCTTCAGATTTTTTTTTAATCTATACACTCTGGTAATAACCCCCACCTCCTAGAGTAGTCTTACTGACCACGTTACATAACACAGGGGTGCCTGGGTGGCTTAGCCTGGGTGGCTCAGGTTGAGCGTCCTACTCTTGGTTTTGGCTCTCACGGTTCATGAATTCAAGCCCTGCACTGGGCTCTGCCCTGACAGTGCGGAGCCTGCTTGGGATTTTCTCTCCCTCTCCCTCAGCCCCTCCCCAGCTCATGCTGTCTCTGTCTTAAAATAAATTAAGAAACTTAAAAAAATAAATACATAAATTAGATAACACAGACACGTTGAATATTTTTTGCATCAGCTCAGGATATAAACAAACAAACCAACCAAAAATACACAAAATGGGATCTCATGTGGGAAGGGCCCGGCAGCATGCCGGGCGGGGTGGGGGGGGTGTAGGGGGAGGGGGGTGCGGGTAGAGGCTCGGTAAATGTCAGTCCTCTCTTCTGGAAGGAAGTGAGTCAGGGGTGGGGGTGGCTGTGTATGCTTTGATCCTTAGCTGCAGCGGAGAAGGAGACAAGGACAACTGTGGAGATCCTTGAGCTGCTGACATTTTCACTGCTGGGACTTGAAGGTTGAAACCACCCTAAGCCCAGACTGAGGACTGGGATTTGAAAAGGAACCATTTACTTTTAAGGCAGTTGTCCTGAATGTCAGAGAAGCCGTGTGCTATTCCGTCACTTCTTTTCATTGAGGTTATAATACGGCCTGCAGACAGTGTGCTGGCTTTATAGACTTAAAAGCAGTAGAAATAATGACATGTAAAAATGACGGAACAAATGCTCTTCCCCTTTGAACCTCTTTTCTTCTCTCCTGCACACTGGCCTTTGACGTTCTACAGGCATTAGTTCACCTTAGGCTCCCAACGCACCTCAGGCAGGCGGCCAGGGAGCATTACAAGGTAGTTACAGCCATCGGTGAACTGCTGATGTGGGACACGGTGTGTCCACACGGCTGGACCCATGGTGAACTGGGGGACTCTGGACTTGGAAGGGCTCCCCTAGATTGATCTGCCCCCCCATCCTTTATTTACTGGATGTGCAAACCCAGAGCAAAGAGGGGATATGATCTGCTCAAGGATGCACAAACAAGATGTGACAGGCCTGGAAACAGAGCCAAGACTGACTTACTGTGAAAGACTTATTTTACTGCATAATGCCTTCTTTTAACGGAACTGACATGTTTTTGTTTAACGACGTTTTACCGAAATACATTTGTTACCACATTAAATGCAAAGCCAAAATATGTGACAGTTAAGAGAGATTAGAACTTTTGAGTGTTACTTCCAAGGTTAGTCTATGAAAAATATTTTTGGTGGGTTGCATATTGTGAGTGTCTTGACCACAGTGACGATGACAGTGGTGGTGATGATGGTGATGGTGACAGTGACAATAATGATGGTGAGGATAATGATAATGATGGTGATGGTGACAGTGACCATGGTGGTGATGGTGATACTGGTGATGCTGATGCTGATGATGACGGGAAAGATGACAGCTAACAATGAATTTATCACTAGCTCATGCACTGTGTAGATTTTAGGTCACTTAATGCTCACAACAACCCCATGACAAAGGGGTTGTATTAATATTATTTTAGGAATAAGGAGACAGACAATTGAAGCAGGTTGCCTAATGACAGACTTACTAATGACAAAGCCAGAGTTCAAGTATAAAATAATCCAAAATACTAATTATAACTAATATTTATTGAGATCTTGCTGTGTTCTGAGCTCTATGCTGTACTTTCCAGGCGTCTGATTTTATTATCCCAACATTTCACGGGGTAGGCAATCACTATTTTCTCTATTTTATAGAGTAAAAAGACATCCTACAGTTTGGGGCTGAAGTGACCCACTCCAGGTCGCACAGGTAGCAAGGGAAGGAGCAAGGAGGGAACATATGGGCACAGCCATCTCCCCCAGACTGTGGACACTGCTGCCCTGTCCACCTTCTCAGCTCCCCCTCCTCCCCACCCTACACCTGCTCTGCAGGGCCCCCAGACCCTGCTGATTCTGCTCCCTCCCCTCCCACATCCTCACACCCCAGTTTCCTCCTGACCTCCCCTCCTCTCTTCATGCTGGCCCTTCCAACCCACCCCACACTGCGGTCAGGGAGCCCTCTGGAAACCGAGGACAGTCACGGCTCCTTCTAATGGTTTCCGGTGCCTGCACCTCCATCCAGGTTCAAGGGGTAAACATACAGGGCTCTCAGTAATCCCCACCAGCACCCCACAACCCCATTAAGGCATTCCACCATCGGTTCCTCAACCAGACTCCCTTAACTTCTCCCTGTGGACACCCTGCCTGGCCTTAGGCTCAGATTTAGTAAGAGTTGATGAAGAAAGAGTACATGAACGAATGAATGAATGAATGGGGAACGAAGGCATGCGAGCTTTTTTCTTTTGCAATGTAGTTCTAGTAGAATTTCCTGTAATTTTCTTTCTTTTCTTTTTCTCCCAAGGGAAGTAAAGGAGAGCGTGGTGCAGCTGGTGAAGCTGGACAGAAAGGTGACCAGGTAAGAACTTACTTTATAATGAACCTGGAGAGGTATCACTGTTCTTCCTAGATAAATTTCATTCTGCCATTTCTGACATCACTGCTTGGATCTTCCTTGCCTGCAGCAGGATTTTTTTAAACCACATTTTCATGGTTTCCAAATTGATTCCTCTGGTTCATGGTGATATTCCCCTTCCCCAATTATCTGAGGAGACTGCCTTTTCTGGTTTCGTTTGGTTTTGCTGGACTCTCTGACCTTTAGAGCTTTTTGTTTACTGAAATGGTAGTCACCCATTACAACATGCCCCCTTCTTTCCTCCCACCCCCATCATTCCTCAGGGGCCTCTTGTGTAACTCACGGTGCTAGTTGAAATCCTCCATGATGCCCCTCTGCACTCAGTGCCCAGCCAGCCCTGCTGGGCCACGTGTTCGAGTGCATTGTATGGTAGCACCCGTGACGACAGAAACCCCTCTTTCTGCGGATTCAAACATGGCAGTCCCGTCATCTTTTATCCAGGGTCACCGGTTCTGCAGTCCCAGCTCCCCAGCCTCCAGCAGCCTTTCTGCCATTTAAACTGGCTACCTTCTCCTGCTTTGCTTCTGTCACCCTTCCCTTTTCCTTTTCCTCTTTTGCACCTGTGCTCCCCCCATCACCCCTCTGTGCATCTCTCCATCGGTCCTCCTTGTCAACCGGCTGCATGCCGGACACAGCCCCAGGCTCTGAGATGCATGGTGCGTAAGGACAAATCCCTGACCTCACGGGGCTTTCTGTTCAGTGAGAAGGTGAGGCAGGTGAGCAGGTACTCCAGAGGCAGTGAGGTAAGAGCTAGCTATGCTCAAGGTCTGAGTGACGTACTTAGCTAAAATTCCGTCTGTATTTGGAAAAACAAAATGTGTCCAGATTATTCTTGCCATAGTGAATTTTCTTTTTTTTAATATGAAATCTATTGTCAAATTGGTTTCCATACAACAGCCAGTGCTCCTTCCAACAGCTGCCCTCCTCAATGCCCATCACCCACCCTCCTCTCCCTCCCACTCCCCATCAACCCTCCGTTTATTCTCAGTTTTTAAGAGTCTCTTATGGTTTGGCTCTCTCCCTCTCTAACTTTTTTTTTCCCCTCAAATATAGTACCTTCTATCCTGACTGTTACAGCTTGTGTTTTCCAGCAGCAGGAGATAGAGGTGGAGGGCAGGGAAGTCTCTTCCATGGTGGTTTGCGGTTTATTTGATCCTATAAAACGTTGTCTTACTAAAACTAAATGTTACACGCAATACGCTCTAGCTTGCTTAGCTCCTGCTTTAACACACATGGACTCCTCTCTGCCCGGAGATGTGAATCCCTTTCCTAAAGTAACTGCCACGTTATTATAGTGTAGATGCCATAATTCAGAAACCGGAACAGTTTCCATTTGGGAGCATATGTTGCGTGTGCATGTGCATTTATTTGCTTTCAGATTGTTATCATGGGGTGTCTCGAGCCTACACAAAAGTTAGAAACCATAGTAAGAAGACCCCCACCCTTAGACGTACCACCCAGCCACAGGATGTTGTAGCCATTATGGCCGCTTCTGTTTTCACCTGTGCCTTCAGCCACACCGTCTTCCTTCACATTATTGTGAAGCAGGTCCGCTTTCAGGGTAGGTTTGGTTTTGTAAATATTGTTAGATACTTCCTCAACCTCTGGAAATACCAAGAATATATTTTAAAAAAAAATAAGGTCTTTTTGTTGCCAGCGTCTTTATCTAAAATTGTTATCGGAGTGAGAAGCTAGAGTCTGGATTGTCATCTGATGTTTGGTGGCTGCCAGAGTGAAGAGCTTCTTAGGAGTCGTTGTTAAGAACTGCCTCTTGGGTTTCCCTAGGGTCATCCTGGAGTTCCTGGTTTCATGGGACCCCCCGGGAACCCTGGGCCACGGGTAAGTGATGATTTTGAATCCCCTCCTCTTTTGGCTTTGACATTTGAACGCATTTCCATACTCCCTGGAGATGGGGTCACATTGGACATTGCTCTTACTTTGAGGACTAGGCTGAAACCTGAATGGTGTCTCAGGCTGACCGGAGAGCGTGGGTCCCTGAGGCATCTGGGGTTGAGGACCAAGTGATATGAGTGGCACCAATGGGCAGTGAGGCTAGGGTGCTTGTAAGGGCCAGGAGGGTGTTGGCAGGGATGGGCAGGCTTGGTTAATTCTTAATCTGTATCTAGCTTGGGCAAGGGAGGCCTGAGATCACTGCAAAGTTAGGATCTTAAGTAAAAGATATAGAAACAGATTCCCCTGTTCCATAGGAACCTGTCCCACGGCAAGAGACTCTGGGAATCACAGCGTCTGTATAAGCACAGATTTTCCTGGGTTTACTGGAGTCAATAATAATAACAACTAATAATTAGTATTATTCAGTACGACCATTTTCTTTAAAAAATTTTTTTTAATGTTTATTCATTTTTGAGAGAGAGACAGAGACCGAGATAGAATGTGAGCAGAGGAGGGGCAGAGAGAGGGAGACACAGAATCTGAAGCAGGCTCCAGGCTCTGAGCTGTCAGCACAGAGCCCAACATGGGGCTTAAAGCCATGGGCTGTGAAATCATGACCTGAGCCGAAGTCAGACACTTAACCGACTGAGACACCCAGGCGACCCAAATTAGGTTGTTTTAAATGCATTTTTTTCAATAAAATCATATGAGAGCATGAAACCACATCTTTCACTTCAGAATCAACTTTTCCAGCAAACTCATAGAAAGTAAATTAGCTACAAAAGTATTCAAGCTTTCCCAGTTTACTAGAGAGCCTACCTTAAATCTCTGATACTCGGCTTACTTCCCACCTGCCCCCTGCCCAGGGTAGGTGCCGTTACCGTCCTTTTCAGTTTCTCAGACTTAATGCCTCACCGCTGCCTCTCTGCAATGAGCAGGTGAATGACCTTGCAGGGGATCTCTGAGTTTACTATCATTGAAGTTCACAAAATTCTGCATTTTCTTCAGATGAATAATTTCACTTAAGAGATCCCTTTGCGGGGCACCTGGGTGGCTCAGACCGTTGAGCCTCCGACTTCGGCTCAGGTCACGATCTCACAGTCTGTGGGTTCGAGCCCCGCGTCGGGCTCTGTGCTGACCGCTTGCTCAGAGCCTGGAGGCTGCTTCCGATTCTGTGTCTCCCTCTCTCTCTCTGCCCCTCCCCCGTTCACGCTTTGTCTCACTGTTTCTCAAAAATAAATAAATGTAAAAAAAAAAATTTTTTTTTTAAAAAAGAGATCCCTTTGCATCGTATTTGAATATGTTATTAGATTTTGTGACATCTGACAGTCAGGCACAAGAATTAAAAATGATCAAGGTAGCAATGTCATAGGTAACGGGGAGAGACATTGGCATTGAATTGAGGAGGGACATTTGAGAAGGAAATAATTTTATATTACACTTCCCATATCATAAAGGCTGTACCTTCCCTGTGTAACCTAATAGCTGAGAGGGCCCCAGAGTAAGTGATGAGGGAAAGCCCCACTCCCACCCCACCCTGGTCATTCAAAGCCTATAACACGTCTCCCCCCCCCCCCCCCAACCCCCCTTGCAAATGAAACCATGTGCTCCTCTCATTGGAAATTGTTCTTTGACAACTCTAGGAAAGGGCTCCTGGCTTATCATTCTCAAGCAAGATGATGCATCTGAGATTCAGAAACAGCCACCTTCAGAGGGTGGCTGAGTCAGCTAAGCATCTGACTTTAGGTCAGGTCATGATCTCACGGTTTGTGGGTTCAAGCCCTGCATCAGGCTCTGTGCTGATGTCTCAGAGCCTGTAGCCTGCTTTGGATTCTGTGTCTCCCTCTCTCTCTGCCCCACTCCCACTCACGCTCTGTTTCTCAAAAAGAAACATTAAAAAAAACGTTCAGAGACAGTCACAATCAGACTGCAGCTGGTCTGCCTCTGACTGACCGATGTGTTCTTCAGTTCACTCAGTGGATGTTTCCTGCATCTACTTTGTGCTGTGCCCTGGACTGTTAATCACCTTTGGGAGTGGATCCTGGTGAGCTGCCCATTTGGGGTCAGTGGCCAGTCATTCTGTAGCAACTCGAGAGCAGGATACCCTCCTGGTCATTGTATTGTTTCTTCGAGTGCTTATATGTTAGACCCTGGAACCAGGGATGTGGAAACCAAACAGACAAGGCTCCTTAGAGTTTATTTCCTGGTGCTCAGTTGGCATCCTACTTTCAGATGAAACCCTTAACCCCAACTGCCATATGGAACTTAATTCCAACTTAGCTAGGTTCCAGAGTAGAGGATGCTGGAAGTTTTTGGCAAAATGATACGGAAGAATCCTGATTTGTAGTAGAAACTCCACTGTTCTATTAGGTTTCGACTAGACGTGTCATTTCCCTGTAGCGTCCCAGCCAGAGAACCATGAACCTTAGGCTCTTTGTTCCAATATTATCAATATCCCTTTATTTCGTGAACATTTACTGGGTCCTTACCTGGCAGAAGAGGTGGGGAAAAATCTGACTGCGTCTTGTCCCCGGGAATTTGTCTGACATGGGAAACAACACCTATCTTCTGCAGCTGTACCAGACTTCCTTGAGGTCCACCATGTAGCTGATTCTGTAGCCCTAGAACTTGGCCAGGACTTGGTATGATATGGGCTTCCTACAAGTTTATGTGAAAAAAAAAAAACACTAAAGATCGCTGGAAAGGTATCAGTAAGACTGCAAGAGCTTGTGTGTTTGTCCTCCCATATTTAGTTAGTATCCGCCATGTTCCTGGTCGTGGGCTGGCCAGTAGACGCACCACTGTCATCTGTGCTTATGATAACGGAGAGCCCTTTATGGAGAGCCCTTAGTACGTGCCGATGCTGACTAACTCCTTATATGTATTAACTTTCTCAATTCTCTCAACAACTCAGCTGAAATAGGAGCTCTTTTTCTCCAGTTTACAGAGGAACTGATAGGCACAGAGGAGTGGAGTAACGTGGAGAGCCAGGACATGGACCCAGGGACGCTGGCTCTGAGAGGGTGCACCCCAACTGATACCTTCTATTCCGTGCTAAGCACACTGCAAGCACTGCCTCATTTCCTGCTCCCCTCCTCACAGCCCGGACAATAATATCACTTCTACCCTTTCACTGACAAGGAAGCTGAAGATGGGAATCGTATACCCCTTGACCAAAGCTAGAAAGAAGCAGTGTATTCGTTAGTCTAAACAATCTGTCCCCTTGGAGCATCTGGGGGGCTCAGTTGGTTGAGCTTCCAACTCTTGGTTTCAGCTCAGGTCATGATCCCAGGGTCATGGGATCACTCCCCATGTTGGGCTGCACACTGAGCATGGGGCCTGCTTGGGATTCTCTCTCTCTCCCGCTCTGTCCCTCTCCCCTGCGAGTTCTCTCTCTCAAAATAAATAAATAAAAATTAAAAAAAAAAAAGAATCTATGTCTCATCTGCCAGCCAGCCCAGCTTTCATTCATTCATTCATTCATTCATTCAAGAAATATTGAGTGCCCACTATCTCCGAGGCAATGTTTTAGTTCCCAGTAAAGGAAATCATCAACAAACACTAGGGTGGCAGATGGCGATAAAGGCTATGGAGGAAAATGAAGGTGTTAGGAGAGGCAGGCGCTTTGGAGTTTGGATTTGGGAGGTGGATAATTTCTCACTGAGCCGGGATGAGGACAAGGGCAGGCTGTGCGCTCTGAGCCTTGGGGGACTGGATTTCACGCAGGGGGAGCAGCAGGGCAGGGAGCTGAGCGGACTCACCCTGCTGCACTCACTTACGTGCATAGAACTCCTCTTTCATGGTTCCATGCACTTCTCATCCCTGGGTTGGCACAACCAAAAACACCCTCCTTATTAGCCTCGAAGATAAATCCACTTGTTCCTTCTTGCCTTCTGTCCCCAAATGTCCCCTGATGTCAGCCGGAGGCGTCCACTCTGAAGTGAGACAGTTTGCTGTTGCCGGGCAGGCCGGCTGGCTGGCGACTACTCTGGTCCTTCCTGCCCCACGGCTGCTGTTCCCCTGACATCTTTGTGTTCCCAGAGACCAGACCAGCGTGTTGAGGGAGGGGGGGCTCCCAGGAGCACCTGTGGTTCTGGCAGCCGGGGAGGGGCTCAGGACGCACCCTCTGTGCACTGCTTCGTGCACAAAGAGGTGCTAACCATCTCTGTTGAGATCCTCACAGCAAACTGACTCCCTGCTCTGTCGTCCTTAGGGAGCGGATGGCGTTGCTGGGGCCGCTGGACCTCCAGGGATCCAAGGGCCGCCGGTAAGTTCCTTAGCAGACTGGACCTGCCCTGAGTCTGTTTGGGCTTCCCAGAACCCAGGTGTTCACAGGCCTGGTCCTGGTCCTCCCTCTGCCTCCGTGGCTCCTCATCCTAAGTATTCACAGTCTTGCAATGAAACCATGGGGGAGGGGAGTTGTTTGCTTCCCATTGGGACCGTGGTTTCTTGCCTCTGACATAAACGTTTTGGAGCACTTGGGTGGTTCAGTTGGCTAAGCGTCCAACTTCAGCTCAGGTCAGGATCTTGAGGTTCATGGATGCAAGCCCCGCGTCGGACTCTGTGCTGACAGCTCAGAGCCTGGAGCCTACTTCGGATTCTGTGTCTCCCTCTCTCTCTGCCCCTTCCCCTGTTCATGCTCTGTTCTCAAAAATAAGTAGAAAAACGTTAAAAAAAATTTAAGAAATAGAATAATAAAATTAAAGTGAAATAAAATAAAAAAGTAAAATAAAATAAAATAAAATAAGTTTGGATGAATGGCCTGGCAACCCGGGATTCCAGAGTCTGGTTTACAACCAGCTCACACAGGCCCTGTGGGTGTGGTTCTCTTCTGAACAGGCACTGGGGAGGGGAAAGGCTTGAGCCAACCCGCCCTGAGGCTACGGTATATTTCAAGAGGCACGTTGGACAGGAGTAGCTCCTGTTATCCAACCGCCCCAAAGAGGAGCGAGAAGTCAGAGAGGGGAGTCACACAGGACTCTGCCTGGCGTTCCGAGCTGGCTCGCAGGCAGGTCAGCCCTCCCCTGGCATCTCTGGGCTCTGATGCCAGGAGCTCTTGAGGGATCAGTTAGGACAGCTCGTCCTAACCTCCTGCTGGGAGGAGGAGGGCAAAGCCCAGTGGGTTTGGGTTACTAGTCCAAGGACACACAGGTAATTAATGTCCAAGTTGGGAGTTAAGTCACTTTGGAAACTCCTGATTCAGTGTCCTTCTGTCATTCGACTCTGACCCGCTGTGGGGGATGGCCGGGCTGGGGGCTGCGGGGGTGTTGGGATCCAAAACTAACAGCCGCATGGATCAGCTTTTGTTCACCATCCGGCCAGTCCTCTTGAAGCTGCCCCCTTAGAAGTCCCGGGCGGAAGGGAATATAAAACCTACCGCAGGCAGCTTTGCACCGATTCTCGGACACCAAAAGATCTCCCCCACAAACACAGACCGTTTGCCCCAGGAGAGGAAGATACAGCCCAGATGTGAATCTCACATACCTTGGAGCTAAACTGTATTGAGTGAGACATCGATTCTGCCGTGGGACCCTGTGGCAAGCGATGGCTGTGCTTGAAGCTGCCTGGGGTCCCGATATTTCACTGTATACATCAAACCAGAGTATGCTCCGAGTTTTCTTAGCATAAACAATGAGTATTGGTAGGTTAAAAAAAAAAAAAGAAATTTAAAAAGCTAAATGGGACATAATAAAAAAAGATACAAATTGAAAATATTTCCATTATATTTTGAAATGAAACACATAAACCATTTGCCAATCTTTTTGACATAGAAGGAAGGCCTTACTTCGATTTTGGGTCCCCTAGTGGAGTCTCTTGTCGTTATTCTTGTAAAAAGAACATCTACCCACTTACTGTTTGCTGCTTCTTGAAAAAGTGGTTTGAGAATGTAACACCACCTGTGAAGCAATTTGAATGCAGAATCCTAGATCGTTAGGGTATTTTTTTTCCTAATCTTTTATAGCTATCTCGTTACAGCCATCTAGATAGTGAGTCATCTTTGTAAAATAAAGTCTTAACTTAAAGATCATTCTTTTTCTTTTTCCACCTACATTTAGTTGGGTTACCTAATGAATAATTATGTAATTTCCAGGGTGCCTGGGTGGCTCAGTGGGTTAACTGTTTGACTTTGGCTCAGGTCATGATCTTGCAGTTCACAAATTCGAGCCCCGCGTCGGGCTCCATGCTGAGCGTGGAGCCTTCTTAAGATTCTCTCCTGGGGCACCTGGGTGGCTCAGTCAGTTAAGTGTCCGACTTCGGCTCAGGCCATCAACTCGTGGTTCATGAGTTCGAGCCCTGCGTCAGTCTCTGTGTGGACAACTCAGAGCCTGGAGGCTGCTTCAGATTCTGTGTCTCCCTCTCTCTCTGCTCCTCCCCCACTCAAGCTCGCTCTCTCTCTCACTCGAAAATAAATAAAAAAGCATTACAAAAACTGTGTAATTTCCACAGCAAAGCACAACTTGCACAATACAAACAGGATTAGGACCAAGCTGACCTCTTGTGTATCTTCAGCTCACATCATGGGGTTAAAAAAGCCCGAAATAGTAAATATTTTAGTCTTCGTGGGCCACGTGGTCTCTGTCGCAAATATTCAGCACCGCTGTGATAAGATGAAGTCTGCCATGCACAGTAGGTCAACAAAAAGGTTCCACTGTGTTCTGATACAACTTTATTTGCAAAAGCAGCGAGGGCTGGAGTTTGCTAATTCCAGTAGTGGCTCCCTACTAGGGTCTTTGGAAAAACAGACCTTCAGGAAGGAATCCAGCGAGCTCCATTATCAGTATTTAAAAATCCCTAATGATGCTGAGTCTTTGTTCCAAATTGACAAAAAAAAAAAAAAAAAAAAAAAAAAAAAATCCACTTTGTTTATAAAATCTGTATAAATCTGAATTAAATATCAAAATATCTCCGCCTTTGGTTTTCTTCCAAGAAGCTAACATCACAAGTCTTAAGGATACCTCATTTTGTGTGGCAGGTGGATTAGAATGTAAAACCTGACATTGGCATTTTACCACTTCAAAAGAAACAGTGGCCGGCGATTATAAAGGCGTTGGGGCCTCTTAATTAGAGACACAGGTGACATAAGAACACTCATCCAGGTAGAAATGATAGCATTGACGACTTCATCTGATTGAGAAGCTGTGTTTGGCAGTGATGTGTGTCTGGCAAATAAAATGGAAAATGAAGTATGAATTAAGGCAATTTGGTAAACACAGTCTTTCAAAATACCAGCTATAAACTTGGTAGGAAGTTTAGGAGCCTCCAGACGAGGGGATGGTGACACCAAACCATCTGTTTAGCCCCAGGCCAGCTTTTTGCTTGTGTTGGATCCCATGTGCCCAACAAGGTCAGGAGCTGTGGTGCTGCGTGGTGAGGGTTTGGCCCTCAGGCAGTGTTGAAGATAAAGTACAGAGCTGGGGCTGGACCCAAGTCTTGTGGACCCCAAGCATCTTCTTCCCACCAGGCATTTCCATCTTCAGTCCCCCTGAGTCCATGTAACACGCTGGAAAGCTTCCCTGTGTGCACATGCACCTGCTGTGATGTGCTCCGCCCTGGGCGCCTCCCTGCTGTGGGTCAGGCAATGCCTGGCAAGCACTTCGCTTCTCACCGAAGATGCCTGCCAGCCCGTGAGGGCAGTTCTGTGTGAGATCGTTTCCTTCCAGAAAAGCCAGTCTGAGAGATCTAATGGTGTTTTTGTGTCTTGCATCCTTCAGGGGAAAGAAGGTCCTCCTGGCCCTGAAGGCCCATCTGGGTTACCCGGAATCCCGGTAAGTGAGATTAAACACACACACACACACACACACACACACACACACACACACACACAAAATGTGACCAAAAAACCAAAAACCTGGTTTCTCTACTACAAAAATGAGCAAACCAAAACATACTGCACTACTGTTTAGGTAAGACATGGTCACTGGGGGAGTTTCCAGTATTACAGAAAATGAGAAGGAGAATCACTAACCAAAGCCAAGTTAGTACGTTTTTGGTGGGGTCAGTCTTAACCTCATTCTTCTATGCAGTATGCACTGTTGTTGTTGATTTGTGTAGATGATGTTTTTATCTCTCTCCACACACGCATATGTGTGTATCCACGGTTAAGATCTCTCTCTCTCTCTCACACACACACACACACACACACACACACACACACACGCACAACTGTGATAATGAACTATTTATGATAAAATAAACACTTCTTATTTTCCACACTGGTATTAACTGTTCATACACTCATTAAATTTTATATACACTCTACCCAACGCATGTACCATAATATATATGATCATTCCTCTGTTGCCTCATAAATCTTATCGTTATTTTTTTTAAGACTATATTAAGCTATTTTGCATGCATGGCACTTTTCTATGTAATGGCCCTCAAAAGTGAGGTTCACTTGTCAGGTGTAATAATGTCTGAGGTTCTTTATTTTTTTTAATGTTTATTTTTGAGAGAGAGAGATAGAGTGAGTGGGGGAGGGCAGAGAGAGAGGGAGACAGAATCCAAAGCAGGCTCCAGGCTCTAAGCTATCAGCACAGAGCCCGACGCGGGGCTCGAACCCACGAGCCATGAGATCAGGACCTGAGCCAAAGTCAGACGCTTAACCACCTGAGCCACCCAGGCACCCCTGAGGGTCTTGATACACATTGCCAAATTACTTTCTATGAATACTGTTCTGGACTTTTAAATTTAATATACTTCTCAATAGGGTTGAGCTCTCTAGTTAGTTAGTAAGGCTGGTCCAGAGAGATCATATGCTGCCTCCTCCATTGAGAACCCATCCCTGTGGAGTTGGTGGTCTGGCCCGTGCCTGCTGCTGGGGCCTCTACTGGCCACAGCCCCCAACCCCGGCCCTGCATACTGTATTGTTTTATTGCAGCCGCACTGGCTTCCTTTTGGTTCGTAGAATGTTCTGCATCCTCTCTTTTCCAGACCACAGGGCCTTTGCCCATGCATTTCTGTCTACCCACAATGCCTCTTCCTTACCTCTTGCACCAGCTGCTTTTGCCTTTGCTCTTTTGCATCCCATCTCAGGCATCACCCCCTGGAAGTTTTCTCTGCACCCCCTAGGCTGGGGCAGTCTCTCCCAGTCTCTTTTCCTTTCCTTGTGAGGGCCTATCTCAGTGGTAATCACATCTTTATTTGTATAATCGTTTCATTAGTGACCCCTTCCTCCAATGTTCATTAACTTATTTGCTCATTCGGCAGACTCTACTTAGGCACCCACTGTTTGCTAGAAATGGAAATCTAACAGAAAAGTCCCTGCTAATCATGGGGTTTTGCTCTAGGCTGTGGGTTCTAGAAGACCAGGCTTTGGCTTCCCACACATAGTGAACACCCAGTAAATACTACTTAAAGAAACACATGGATGAATGAACTGCTCTCTCAGAGCCCTCCCTCCTCAAGTATCTGAGAAGTGACTGCACTGGTCAAAGACACATTTCCCAGGCACCCACTGTCAGGTCTCCCTGCAGCCATGTGACCCTGGGGTTAAGTAACGTGTGCAGGGCGCACAGATCTTAAAAGATGTGCTGGGTTGAGAAACCTCTGTTGGTCTACACTGCGGCTCTGCAGCCTAGCTTGTCCTGGCAGCTGGAAGGTACTGACCGATATAATTCTAGCGATGGTGAAGCTAAGGAGAGAAAATCCTGGTCTGGCTTTTGTGCCAAGCCCTTATCACCACAGCCCTAGCGTACTGGAGGAGAGAGGCATGGCTTCCGGTGTTGACTTCACCATTTTCTTAATAATGTCCCCTCAGCCCCTCCACCCTGTCCTCCCTTCCAGGGGAGGGCCCTGTCTCTCAGACATAAGCCAAACCTGGGCACATGCTATCCCTGCAGCCTCGGGAATGGCTTCCTCTCTCTCACCCCATCCCCCACCCCAGCCACTCTGAATGCCTTTGCCTCTTCCGTATCATTCCTGTGTCAGAAACACTTCCTCTCCTCTGCCTGGAGGATAAGAATCATCGTAGCTTTGGGGCACCTGGCTGGCTCAGTCGGTTAGGCATCCGACTCTTGATTTCATCTCAGGTCATGATCTCATGGTTCATGAGTTCGAGCCCCGCATCGGGCTCTCTGCTGACAACCGGGAGCCTGCTTGGGATTCTTTCTCCCTCTCTCTCTCTGTCTGCCTGTCCCCTGCTTGCTCTCTCTCTGTCTCCAAACAAACATTAAAACAAACAAACAAAAAAAGAATCCTCATAGCTTTCATGTGCACGGTGCACACCCCCTGATGGGCTCTGTGCAAAGAGCTTTCCGCATGTTATAACATATGTACCCTTTGCCGTGGACCCTCTCAGCAGCTCATGCTGAGGTCTGGACTGGACGTCATTTTCTCTGGGAGGTGCCCTGAGCCTCCCCAGGGGCTTAGGTAGAAATCTGAGCAGTGCTCCAGGAACACTCAGCCCCCTACACCATCACAACACAGATGCAGCCACACACACCCGTCCATCTCTGTCCACCTGCACCACACCCTCCCCAGCACAGCGCCAAGTGGTGCTTCCTAGATCTGGTCTGACCTAGGCCAGAATTCGAGGAACCAGACAGACCCAGCCGTGGTCCCCGCCAGTATGTGGCCTGGGGTCTCGTGGAGAAGCCAAACAGAAAAGGATGAAACCATTGACACAGAGCATGCTGTGCTATGTGGTAGGTAGAGGGGGGCCCAGGGGCCCATAGTGGACACCCAAGCCAGTCCTGGAGGGATGTCTGTGGAGGGGACACTCGAGGTGAGTGTTCAAGGTCAAGTAGTCAAGGCTGAGAAGGACGAGAGGGGTCAGGAAGAAGGTACTCCAGGTAGAAGGAGGAACGTGTAAGAGACATGGATGTATTTACATACAGGAACTGGCTAGAAGAAATATTAAGTGTTAGGGGTGCCTGGGGGCTCAGTCGGTTAAGCGTCTGACTTCGGCTCAGGTCATGATCTCGCAGTTCATGGGTTTGAGCCCGTGTCGGGCTCTTTGCTGACAGCTGGGAGCCTGGAGCCTGCTTCGGATTCTGCGTCTCCCTCTCTCTCTGCCCCTCCCATTGCTCTCTCTCTCTAAAAAATAAACACACATTTTTTTAAAAAGAAAGACTAAGTGTTAGGGAGTGGCTTCTGCTTCTGGCCAGGGCCATGGGGGGCGCACTGTGACTTTGCTAACACTCATTGGGCACCAACGGTCGCTTCTGGGAAGGAGAGCCACAAACCTCACCATTTATTAGGCACCCCTCTGTGCCAGAAAGACCCTTCGTATTCCTCCTCCTGCAGTCGGGGAGCATCTCTTTAATTTACTGAAGGTGCAGAAGCAGGTTCGGAGACGTTAAGGGGCTGCTCAGCAGGTCTGCCTGAGGCAGCTTCTCTCTCTCAGAAAGCCACCTTTCCTTCTCAGACGATTACGTGGGCCACGCACGGCCCTCCTCTGCATTTCCCCATGTGGCACTCGTGCTGCTCCCACACATCATGCCTTTGCCCCCGGGGGGTCCTTGGGGTCTCCAGCCAGAGTCTACAGGTCTCCCGCCTGGCCACGCTTCCTCCTGTGATTGGCTTCCTCTCCCACGCATGCGTCTCTTGACCTCCCCCCGCTGCTGCATGCATGGAGAAAAGTGCTTTCTGGAAAACTCTTGATTGAAAAGAGGACCAGTACGGCCCGGCTTCCACAGCAGCCCCGCTGGTTTCCCTGGTTAACATGGTTATGCCAGGAGCAGCATTCGGAAAGGGTTACAGGTGTCCGTTGAGCATTGGACCAGCGCCCTGGATGGCCACGAAGCTTAGATTCCAGTCCACGGTGGCTTCCCAAGGTGCCAGGCGACTGATGTTGAAGGCACTGATGAGGAACAATGCCCGGTGTCCTGAATGCCTACAGCAGCAGAGACAGCCCCGGTGCTGGGGCCACCTGTCGATGCTGGGTTAGTTCTGCCTCGTGGGCAGGAGCTTCCATTCTGACCGCCTGGTAACTCTGTGGAGCACACTTGCCATCTGTTTTTAGGAGCAGGGCACTGAGGGGCTGAGGATATCAATAATTTGCCCAAGATCAGGTGCCTAGTAGTGCAAGAAGGATTCAGACCTTGCCTGGGTTGACTCAGTTTCCCTTCTGTCCTGCTGCCTGGTTGCTTTCCTTCCCCAGACCCCCATGCTCACCCCCAGTCCAGGTGGCCCAGGATTGGAACCTAAGTCTGGGTGATGTCATTGTCATTGTATAGAATTCTCTTTCCCGTTTGCAGAGACTTGAAGAATAACGGTCTCTTAGGGAAACCTGAGGCTTCTAGTGACCTCCTTAGGGCAAGGAGGCTGGCCATGGGGAGGGAATCCCAGCTGGATCTCACGGAGAGAAACGCCAAGTGTTCACAGCTGTTCGTAACCCACACGTAATCTGTGTTGGCTCCCTGAGCCCCCATGTGTCCCGTGCTGCCCTGTATCTGTCCAGTGTCCCCAGTGTCTCCATCAGAAGCTGCATCCTTGCCCACTCCTTGCTGCATTCGATCCCGGAGGCCCAGACATGACGCTCTGGTGTCCCAAGGTTGTCTTCATGACATGCCTACTAGGGGCTTCGGCAGATGAACAGAACCAAGAATGATGCTATTGCAAGTTTTTGCCTTTCTGCTCTGTGCCGGGCGCTGTGGATGAGAGATCCCAGCCAGAATTGTGGTGTTGGGAAGAAACCAGGAAGTCAAACCAGTTCTGTGTGTTCAAGTGGCCCCTTAGCTGTTCAGTGTGGCTGTAGCCCAGCACTAGGCGTGTGTCCCGAACGCAGCCTGTCTTCCCTCCCGGCACCTCCAGTACCAATTGGATTTCTCTTGCAGGGAGAAGAAGGCAAAGAGGGCAGAGATGGAAAACCAGGTCCCCCCGGGGAGCCGGTAAGGGACTCTCAATTTTTTACCATTTTATGCACCAAATTAGTAATGTCTCCGTTAACAGCTGCTCTTTGTGGACGAGCTACTGTGACACAGGTGCAGCCGGAGTCACTTTCTCTGTGTTACTTCATTTATTTCTCCTGACAGCCTTACAGGGTGAATGCTGCTGTCCCCATTTTATAGCTGAGAAAATGGAGTCTCAGGGAGGTCCGGTGATGGGCCCAAAGTCATATGATGGGCTGGTGACAGAATCAGAACTTGAGCCTGGGACTTCGGCCTGGCCTCTGCATTTTTTTTTTTTTTTTTTTTTTTTTTTTTTTTTTTTTTTTTTTTACTGCCCCCTTCAGCCTCAGTCCTGTTGACACGGGAGGGGAGCTGGGGCAGGTAGACACTGGCTGGAGTAGAAGCCTGATACCCTGGAGCCTGTTATCCCCACCAAAAGCCTGAGCATTCTGGCTAGCTCCAGGTGAAGGGAGTTCGCCCTTTCTTCAGCTTTGGTCTAGAGTTGTAGGTTTTGTTTTTTCCCCTTTTCTTTTTCTCTAATGTCACCTGCCCAGGACACACAGTGAAACAGACCGAGTGCTTGGGAGGGAGTCTGTGCCCCAGTGGCAGTTGGTTGGAACAAAAAGTGGGCAGGGGGTTCTGCCGACCCGTATCTGTGGCCTCAATGTGGTCCTGCACAGTTGCCTGCTTCTCTTGCCCGTGGGTCAGGGCCCGTGGGGCCAGCACGTTTGTCTCCCCAGATCCCTTCCATGGCCTCAGTACTGAGGGGGAGCTGGAAGGTGGTTGTCTGGGCCTCAAGACCCAGCCCTCCACGCGCCCACCCATGGCAGAGCGTCAATGATGGCGTGCCCCTGCTAGTATATTACGCAGCCCCGAGGAAGGTATTCTCCAGACACTGCTGTGAGCCTTCTCTAAGATGCATGGCAACTTGGCCAGAATCGCTGGACAACCAAGCGAGGTGAGACATCAGCCATCGGTGGGAGGCACCAGCTCATCTCACTGGTAATGACGTCAGGACGTGACTCTTCCCCAGCCGCCCTGGTTTTAAGTCCTGCTGAGGTCAGAGCTGCAGAACCCTTAGAGCCACTAAGGGGGACTACACGGAAGTTTCTACAGCGAGGTTTCCAATTCCATTTAACCCGGTCATAAACTGTTACGACTTCTGCATCTTACGCGACTTGCGGGAAGCACCTTCTTCATCATTTTTCACTGCTTGCCGGATGCCGGAACCAGAATTCACTGCTGAGAGGAAAAGAAAGCGCTTAGGGCAGCAAGCAGTGTAAATAAACAAAAGGCCCCTGCCAAGCCGCCGAAGCCGCCGAAGGCTGATGCCCAGCAGAGCAGCCCGTGGAGGGCACGTGGCAGTTAGCGGGGTGAGACTGTGGGAGGGGAGAGAGAATGGAGACCGTCACTATGTGCCCGGCTCGCGCTGCGGCACAGATGCTTTGTTACCTTTTCCACTGTGACCCCCAGAAGATCCCCATGGGGTGTGGCGTTATTATTGCCCCAGATGAGGAAACTGAGGCACAGAGAGGTTAAGCAGGGTGGCCAAGGTCACACGGCTGGTAAATGAAGCTTCTGGGACTCACCCTCCAGAGGCTGACCTCCGAGTTCAGTGCTGCAGGACAGAAAGTCAACTTTTTTTTTTTTATGTTTATTTATTTTTGAGAAAGAGAGAGACAGAGAATGAGGGGGAGGAGGGGCAGAGAGAGAGGGAGACACAGAATCAGAAGCAGGTTCCAGGCTCTGAGCTGTCAGCACAGAGCCCAATGCGGGGCTCGAACTCATGAGCTGTGAGATCATGACCTGAGCCAAAGTCGGACGCTCAACCGACTGAGCCACCCAGGTGCCCCAGAAAGTCACCTTTTCTGCAGGTATGTTATTCTGAGAGTTGTCAGGCCTCGGTCTGCATCCAGTGTGTTTATGGATTGCCTCTTCCAGTTAGGCCTGTGTCAGGCCTTGGGCCTAGACCAATACAAGACCAAATCTGTTCTGGGCATGCGGTGGGTAAGTCAGTACGTGAGGAGGCAGGGAGTGGGGGCTTAGCGACTCCCAACTGGGAGCCTTCCAGAGTGTGCCAGGCGCTCACTCCGGAATCTCAGTGTGTGGCCTTTGTGACGACTTCTCTCTCTTAGCGGCCTGAGAAATTGGCCTGGGAATGAGCGGCACAGGATCCCATAAAAGCAGATCCAGAGACAAGGATTTACGGCAGGCGGGGCGTTTGGGAAGTGCTCCCAGGAAACACCGAGGGCATGAGGAAATGAGACTGGGAAAGATCCCCATGGGGAAAGCCACCGACATCCGGCTAGGGAGTGAGCCCCTCCAGGGGTCAGCCAGGCCAGTGTCACTGGAGACCCTCTGAGAATTTGTGAGGAGCTCACTTGGAATCCGTGCCCCCAGCCCTGCCAGCCAGTCCATCCATCCGTCTGTCGATTTCAAGCCTTTTTAAATAGAGGATTGCTCCGGGAGGCATTAACGAACACATTAACTTCCACACCTCAATGTCAGGCACGCCCGAAGGCCGTTCTGCACACAGCTCTCAGCCTGAGCAGGGACTGCTTACCGATGATGGGCGCCCCCCCCCCCCGGGGAGCCAAGCAGATGTGGTTGGAAAGCAGCAGCATTTGCTACACTCGGTGTATTTTTTCAAGTTCCTATGTGTTAGGGACATGGATGGACAGACAGACAGCAGATAGACAGATGGGTAGATGATGGATGGATAGATATGTAGATAGATGGATAGATTGGTTAGATAGCTTATGTTCTTATATGTTAGGGACATGGATGGACAGACAGACGGCAGATAGATGGATAGATGATGGATGGATAGATACGTAGCTAGGCAGCTTTTTGAGTTGCCTGTTGTGTCATCTTTATTAAGAGGTATTTGAGTGATAATTATAGCGTATAATGATGTACAGAGACTCTGGAGCCAAAATACCTCGATTAGAACCCAGCTGTGTGACCTTGAACAGACCACTTAACCTCTCTGTGCCTCAGTGTTTGGGCCGATGGAAAGCGATCATGCTTCCCTCAACGGGTTGCAGTGAGGCCTCACTGCCAGAACACGTGAGGCATTCAGTTTGTGTCTGGCACGTGGAAGGCCCCCAGGAGTTGCTGACTGTTATGCTCGGACCAGTGATGGGCATGTCACCTGAGGGCAGCAGGTGTGGGAGCCAGGCTAGGACCATGTACCCGCGGTCATAAAGCCCTGGGTGGGGGGGGTGGGGGGGGGGGTTGTGCTGAGTTTGCAACTGAGAACAGGTCCAGGGAAGGGAAGATCGAGATCACACGGCTGGACTCGAATCAGTCACACAAACCTGCCCCACCCCCTCCTCTCTGCGATTTTTCCCTCCAAATCCACAGATGCGCCTCACTCTCCTTCCCCACTAATGGGCCCCATCAGATCCTCAAGGTCTCCAGGCTGTGAAAAGGAGGGGAATGTGGGGGAAGGGCATCTCCTCCTGTCTTAGCGAAGGCAGGATCAGATGCTGCCCCACCCCCCCATCAGTGGGATGTGCCCTTTCACCGGCTCCCTGCCCCTCCACACACCCCACCCCAACCACGTCACCTGGACTTCAGCTCCCAGTCTCTTGTTGGCTGTTATTTGTGGCTAGTTGTGCCCAGGGCAATGCCAGGCTGCTGGTGGTGAAGAGTTTGAATGGCCCGGGTGTCCCCACAACTTCTTGTAGTAAAGAGAAGCTGGGCCAGGGAAAAGGAGGGGTGAATGGCAGACCTTCCTGTCCGAGGCAGCTGCCAGCTGAGATGAGCAGCCTTCGGGGATGTCGCACGCAGCGGGGATTCAGTCTGGCTTTGCTGTTGATGAGCTCAGTAAAGCTATGGCTTCTCTGAGCCTCAGTGTCCCCAAGTGTGACGTGCAGCAGTTGATAGCTGCCTTGAAGTGGTTCTGTGAGTGAGCACAGAGTCACTGAGAACTCGGGTGTCTGCAGCGTTTTGCATCCAGAGCAGAGCACTTTTGAGAATGACCAGGGGCCACTAGGAACAGTGGCTTCAGAGATGACACCCTGTGTAACCAGCACAGTCCAGGGAAAATCCAGGAGCGTGTAGCCTGGACACATGGGGGGGATTGGTACGGACTGAGGTGGAATACCGTGCCGGGAAGGAGGGTTGGCAGGGGTGAGAGACTGGCCGTTGGAAACCTAACGCCGCCGTGAAGCCCAGGTGGCCAGGAGGGAAGATCCTTATCATGGTGTCCCCAGGCTCTTCTCTTCTTTACTCTCAGGGCAAAACTGGAGACCCGGGTCTACCAGGACCAGAGGGAGCCCGCGGCCTGCCTGTAAGTGCCCGTGTGTGTGTGTGTGCGTGCTGTGTGTGTGTATGTGTGTGTGCATGCGTGCACGTGCATGCTTGTTGTCCATAATACAATGCAGCCTCAGCCGCCCGGCTCCTGTGCTGAGCCCGCCCACTCTGGATTTCCAGAAGTACCTCTCTTCCAAGGCCCTGGTGCTCCTACGTAATAAATTCAGTTGTTTCATGTATGCATGGCTTTAGGATTTATTTTCCAAATGACAACCATTGTTGCCATGTTGTTCTAAGTTTTCTTTGTTCTTAACCTGTTTACGATCATTTTAATGGGATTTCTCTGGATGATAGAACCTAAAAAGGAGTCTTAATTTTGAACACTTTCCATGGCTAAGGGTTTTTTCCCCAATGACGAAAGTAACCCATTCTCCTTGTGTGACAATGACAATGATGGTACTAATACAAAAAGAATAAGAAAAGTAATGTTTTAGAGAGTAAGATAGAGTTACTTGTAATTCTACGACACAGAGGTAAAGCTGTGTTCACATTTTTGTACATTCTTTCCAGATCTTGGGGATGTAGGTATGAATTCTGTATGAATTCTGACTTTTATTTTAAGTATGAATTCTGACGTTTATATTTATATATCAATCTATATCTAGCTGTCAAGCTATTATACATGTAAACATACATAGATAATTTTTCTATAAAAATTAACTCCGTATTTGGGGGTTATTTTTTTTTTGGCTAAATGTTTCACTTCTTCATAATTTCAAAATTGTTTACACAATTCCATAAATTTATTTTTAGGAAAAAAACATTATTTTTAATAAAATTCCTAAAATCCAATTATCTGGCAAGAAGTAGAGATCAAAATGCTACTTCTATTTCCTTAATGTGTTTTTCTGTTAAAATCAATAACTCACCTGGCTAGTATTCAATAAGAAGGAACTGGAACACAAAAAGCAATTTCCTTTTTCCTAAATCTCCTTGCTTTTCACCTGATTGTCCTTTAGGAGAACAAAATCTAAGGATGGGGAATATTACTTCCTATGGTGGAATTAAAACACAGAGTTAGTGTTGGCTTTTTTTTTTTAAGGTGGTTCCTGGCTTATTGGAGGAGAAGGTCTTCCTTTTAGCCAAGGGGATCCATTTGCTGGGACCCGTGTTGGGGCAAGACGCATTTCTCAGTTGAGACTTGCAAGGAATCCTACCTCAGTGCAGGCGCAGGGGTTAGAGACCCACATTCTCTGGCTGGCACAGCATAAGTCAGAGAGCAAGGCTTTGAAGAACCACATGGCCTCTAAGATGGACAAATGTGGGTTCAGCTTTCACCTTGTCACTTACTAACTTTCATCAGGAGACCTCTCTGGACTTTTGTGTCTTCTTCTATGAAATGGAGATCAGAATATCTCCCAGTTCTGTAGGGTGGTTGTGAGCATGTAATGAAGCATGTGAAATTCCCAGCCGCGTGCCTGGCCCCGCGGTAAGGCTCCCTCCATTGATTTTGTCCATGATTATATGGGAAGAGAGCGTACCAGGGGCCCCAGCTCTGGGATGGCTGGATTTGGGATTCTAGTGTCTTTGAGGAAGGTGCTGGGGCCCAGGCAGGCCCTGACCCTCTCCAGGGAAAGAGAACTGGCCTGTGTTGAACAGCAGAGAACACTTGTTTATCTCTTAGGCGGTGCTGGCAGCAACTCGGCCAAAGTGAGTTCTATCGCCATTTTACAGACGTGGAAACTGAGTCCCACTGAAGAGAAGTAGAGTAGCCGAGACCCCCGGCTCCCAAGTGGTTCTATTCCATGGTTCTATTCCAGACCTGATTCCAAAGTCAGCCTTAAGGGTCCATGAAGCCCCTTTCCATAGATTAATTCTGCAAAGCTATCTATGCCTGGCAGGTGCTTTCAGTCTTCTCATTTTGTAGGTGATGTTAGGACTCCCGAGGGCTGAGCTGACTTCTCCGAGGTACAGTGGTTGATCTGAGCCAGCTTCCTTTTTGTCCTCTGCCTCAGTCACTGACGCTTCCTGGCTGGTCACCGAGTGACAGCCCGGCTCTGGTGGCGGCACCTCGTCTAATCCTCACCACAACCCCACAGACAGGGGTCACCTCCCCAGGGATAGCCGAGGCCCAGAGGGGGAGCCACGTGGCCAGCGGCTTAGCAGGGATGTGAAACCCACCTGGCCAGGCTCCCGGCCCCTGCGTCCCCTGCGTCCCCTGTATCCCCTGCATCTCCTGGAGCCTGAGAGCTTGCACCTGTCCCCACACCACCTGCTGCTCTGGAAGCCTTCCCCAGAGCCCCCCTCCCAGAGGCAGGTGAGGTCACACATTCTTACCACCCAAATCTGGAGAAGCAGGGTAAAGAACATGTTCCCAGGGTAACAGCCACCACATCGGAGAGGCCGCTAGGTGGTCTCTCTTTTCGGACGGCCAGGCCCTGTGGTGGCCTTCTCCCCAGCCGGGTCTTCATTCGCTTTTTGGAACCAGGAGGTAAAATCAGGGGATAAGGTGAGAGGAGAGCGTGGTGGGGTCAGCCAGGAGACATTGGCCTTGGCTCTGGACGGCCTGGTTTGGCCACAAACTGCTGCCTCCCAGAGCTGAGGGTGACAGTGGGGAGGGCGTGCTCTGTGGTCAGACAGACCTGGGCTTGGGTCATGGCTCTCCCGCTTCCACCTGTGACGGACAGGCCTGAGCCTGCTTCTTCTTATGTAAAACGGGGGAAAGATGAGCCATCTCCCAGGCCTGCCGTTACACTGCAGTGACAGGATGTGGCAGGGGCTAAACGGGGAGGGATTTCCTCCCTCTTCTCCTCTGCTACCGTCTGAGCTGCGTGCACGGGCTCTGCTCACACAGGTCCGTCGCTCTGTGCCAGCCGCCGGCTGGGGACCGGCTGGCCGGGGGCACTGGGTGCTGCAGGGGCTCAGAGCGGTGCTCTGGCCAGGATGCCCGGTGACAAAGGTACGAGGAGGGCCTTGGAGAGTGAGTGCGTGAGGACTGAGGGAGATGGGGCTGGAGACAGGAGGCTGGTAGGGAGGAGGCCTCCAGCCAGGAGGAGTGTCCCGATGAGGACGGGATCCGCCGGGAAGAGAGGACATGTGTGCACGGGCCTGGAGCAGGAAGGGAGTGCCTAGTGTGCAGCCTGCAGCAGAGCCTGGGACGTGGCACAGTGAGGTGGCCAGGTGGGCAGGGGCCCCTCAGGCGGGGACCGTGCCACCTGGGTGTCAGCAGGTAGGGAAAGCTCCCCGAGACCAGAGCTGGTGAGACGTCAACCCAGCGGTCAGGAGAGTGTGCAGAGCAGGGACAGTGGGAGGGCCTCGGGTCTGGGCAGACCTGGATCTGAATCGGATTATTTTCTGATCCTGGGACTTTGGGCAGGTGTTTTCTCTCTCGAGCCTGGGTGTCCTCACACGTGTATGGGGTTGTTACACGACAGGCTGGTCTGGCTGTTAGAAATGATGGTGTCAGCCCTGCTAACGACTTCCGCTTTGCTCGTAGGGCTTGACGCTCTGTAGCGGTGCATCAGGTGATCTCTGTGCAGGGAGAGCCCAGCACTGTGGCCCAGGACAAGGCTGTTGGGGGGGGCTGGCCACAGCTGCAGGAATGAGGGAGGTGCCCTGAGACCCACCTGTAGAGTGAAGGCAGGGAAACACCTACTCCAGGGGCCAGGCACTGGGGGTGCAAGCCAGACGGGGGAACATCAGGACGATGATGCTCAGAAGGACATGGGGCGACACCCTGACTCGCTGGAGCATTTGTAGGAACAAGCCTTGCAGCTCTAGTCATGGTGCAGTCACCCCATCACCCAGCATCAAGGGCCTAGCCTCTGCCTGGGGTCTAGAATGTGAGGCGTCAGGTGAACCACGGCGAGAGGGGGCACACCTGTCACCCCAGGTGCCTGCCCCCTCTCGCCTGTTCAGCCTGCCCTTTGGTGGACTAACTCCTCTTTTTTCCAGGGCTTCAAGGGACACACAGGCGACTCTGGTGCACCGGGCCCCCGGGTAAGTGGACGTCTAGCCTTGGCGGCCGGCCCAGGTGGACGTGAGCTGGTGCTTCTAGACTGAGGGCTCCTGGCCCCGCAGGCCAGCATGGCAGCTGGTCGCCCGAGAGAGGACAGCGGGCATCGTGGGAAGTGCCATTCCCGGTCTTGGTCTGGTTTTTCTAAACGTTCCTTCTGGGGGCCAGACATTGAGGTACAACCGATGGGACCAAATCAGCCTGGAATCAGGAGGCCTCTGTGGGTTGTGCTGCCCGCAAGCCATGCAGGGGGCCCAGGGCTCACGTTCTTCCCTCTCCTTCGGATGCCCCAAACAGAAGGAACCTGGAAGGCTGGTCAGACCCCCAGCCGTGCTCTGTTTAGGGACGGGAAAGCCGAGGTGTCCAATGGGTCAGCCACTGAAGAGGCAGAATTCCCTGCCGGTGTGCCTGGCCCTTGGGCTCGGTTTTGCCTGTGGCTTAAAGAGGCACAGTGGGGTCCAGGCCCTTGCAGCTGGCCGTGCGGGCACTGCAGACCCCGGCTTCGGCCAGGACTCAGTGGGGCTCTTTCTGGTGGGCTGTGCTTCTGGGTCTTTCCGCCGCCCAGGTGCACGGAGACCAGGCGCTGGCATTCTGCATTCTCTTCACTAACGTGGGTATTTTGTTTCCACTTCCCCCTTCTAGGGAGAGCCTGGTGCCATGGGGCCCCCTGGCCGGGAAGGGTCGCCAGGAAAAGATGTGAGTGTGGGTGTCCTGTGGGGCCCGGCTGGGCCTGTGGAAGGGGTAGAGAGAGTGGAAAGTGTGCATCCCTGAGGGCTCTGGAGGTTGGTGCCTGTGGAGGCTTGCATAGGCAGGTGCTCGGAACTGTCCAGTGATGTCTCTCACCTGCCGGCCCCTGGGGTCCTCCTTGGAGTCCTGAGGAGGCCCTGGGGTCTGGGTTTCCAGCCTCAACAGTTGGGGCCTGTGCCGCCCCATAGCTAAGGAGGCTTTGCTGAATCGACCTTCCGTGCCTGTTAGTATCAGTGGTGGCATTTTGGGTCCGGCCTCACATGGGCTTGAATTTCAGTATCTCCCAGATTATCTCTCCAGCCTGGCTGCTCCGCAGTCTAATGAAACCACCATCATGGCCACCACTAACATGTGCTGTGTGGCATTTAAATTTTTTTTTAATATTTATTTATTTTTTAGAGAGAGACAGAGTGTGAATGGGGAAGGGACAGAGAGAGAGGGAGGCACAGAATCCGAAGCAGCCTCCAGACTCTGAGCTGCCAGCAGAGCCCGATGTGGGGCTCGAACTCATGAACCTCAAGATCATGACCTGAGCCAAAGTCGGACACTCAGCCAACTGAGCCACCCAGGCACCCTTCTCATGGACTTTTTGATCTTGGGATCAGGGCAGGGCAAGATATCTTTTACCCTAGTCCTACCGATAGAAAACCTGAGACCCAGAGAGGTCCAGGGACTGACTGGTGGTCGCACAGGCTGTCAGAGGTGGGAGGAGGTGGCCTGGGTGGGATCTGTCAGCTCTGCGTGCCCCTGGGGGACCAGACCTCATATGTGACACATGTGGGAGGTCTGACATGTGTGGCTGCAACTTGGCCTCCTGGGAGTGGTTATTTGCTCAGGAGCATGGGCACAGGGTCCATGTCCAAGGGGTCCAAGAGGTCCAAGGGGGTCTCATGCCCACCCTTTATATCCGTCAGGATCTGCATTTAAATCCTGGGGAAGTGCACCCCGCCCATGGCTCTTGATGCGCATTGTCTTCTTGACTGACCTGTTCCATGAGATCATAGAGCTAGAAGGGCCTTAGAGGACCAGCCAGGCTCCCATGATTCTCCTCAGGAGCAGAACTGGCTTTACAAAGCCAGTCTAGTGTGAGCAGCACCCTGTCGTGCAGCTAAAAGCAGAACAGCTGCATTGACCCCGGGCGGGGCCCTCTCCCAAGCCCTGACCCTGGAGGCACCTCTCAAGGCCAAAGAGCAGCTTGAAAATCCATTTCCTCTCAGTACAACTTATAGCCAGTTGCATGGAAGGAGCTCCCCAGGCAGGAGTGTGGCTGAGCTTAGCTCCCCTGGCAGGTCAGGGAGCAGCTGGGATGGGAGCCTAGGATGCCAGACCAGGGGGCAAGTGCTTTCTCCCTCCTTCTCAGCTATAGGACTCTCTTCGTTTTAGAGCTCCATTTTCTAGAGTGTTTGAGTCTACTCGGTAGGGAGCATGGCCGAGCTTCTGTGTTTTCATTCATAACATGGCAGAGAATGACAGCCACGCCACGAGGCTGCTTGGAAGACCAGGTGGTGGATCACCACCACGTTGCACCCTGGAAGGCACTGTGTGCACGGGCAGTATTTTTCCTACTGTGGCAGCAGAGGCAGGAGTGAGTTCAGTCACCGTCCAGTGAGTCAGGGACAGACGTCCAAGATGACTTCTCTTCAATGGCTGCCTCCCTTAGTTCAAAATGGCGCTAGCAGAAATCACTGTGGGATCGGGTAGACGGTGTCTGAGCAAGTAAATAAATAAACCAGGTTCACGCATTTACTCATCTACATGAAATGAGTTCGTCCATGCTTGGAATCACTGGAGATCGGTGATGAAGGGTCTGAACAGTTAAGTTGGGTCTCTTGGGGAACGTGATGAAGTTTGGTCCACATTTGAAACTGTGTCTCCATTATCTGCATGCATCCACTTTGTGATAACGTGACCCCTCTCTGTTCCAGGGTGACACTGGACCCACAGGGCCACAGGGTCCCCCAGGACTAAGGGGCCCACCGGTGAGTGTTACTCTCCTCTATGTTTGCCTGTTAGCCCAGCGACATTTGGTTGGCTCATCCTGGTACAGCCCTGTGTGTTGTTTAGAATTGACAGTATTATAGGGGTGCCTGGGTGGCTCAGTTGGTTAAGCATCTGACGTCGGCTCAGGTCATGATCTCGTGGTTTGTGAGTTCAAGCCCTGTGTCAGGCTCTGTACTGACAGCTTGGAGCCTGGAGCCTGCTTTGGATTCTGTGTCTCACTCTCTGTCTCTGCCCCTCCCCTGCTCATGCTCTGTCTCTCTCTCTCAGGAGATGAATAAATGTTAAAAACAAATGGCAGTATATCCTAGAATTTGGAAATAGCTACTGCCCTAAGCCCCACTAGTGCCCTACTACATGTACCCTAGGCTATTTTCTGGGACCTCCTGGCACGGCAGGGCCCTGTAGGACTTCCCTTAGGTCATTCTAGTGTGTGATGCATGATCTGTGTATTAGTTTGCTGGGGCTGTCGTAGCAAAGAACCACAAATTTAGTGGCTTCAACAACAAATTTATTGTCTCACAATTCTGGAGGCTAGATGTCCAAGAAATTTCCTGTCTTACTATTCCAGAAGCTAGAAGTCTAAGATCAAGATGTGGACAGGCTTGGTTGCTTCTGAGGGTTGTGAGGAAGAATCTGGTCTGTTCCTCTCACTTAGCTTCTGGAGATTTCCTGGCAAGCTCTGTTGTTCCTTGGCTTGTACAACATGACCCTGATCTCTGCCTCCGTCTTCACATGGCATTGTCCCTGCGGGCATGTCTCGATGTCCAAATGTGCCCCTTTTCTAAGAACACTAGTGGTATTGGGTTGAGACCCACCCTGCTCCAGCATGACCTCATCAAACTAATTACATCTGCAGTGACTTTGTTTCCAAATAAGGTCCTGTGCAGAAATGGCACAGTTGTGACCCATGCTAATGATAGAAGGAATCATACAGAATCCAAATTAAAAGAAGATTCTCTTTTCACCCCACCTCTACTAGACTCCAGAGGGAGCCACTGATAATAGCATTTTGTGTTTATTTTAAAATGTCTTCAATGCACCTATAAGCATGTAGATAGAATGCACATCTGTTACACGACACTTTATCTTTGCAGTTTGCTTCTTTGCATGGTGTATGTGTGCGTGTGTAAATTTTGGATGAGTATGGAATAGATGAGTGAACAGCCTGTAGCATAGCTATACGTGGGCTTCCTGGGTCCCAGTTACACAGCTGGTAAGAGCTGTAGGCAAGACTTAAACCCAAGACTTTCTGACACCAAATCCAATGCTCTGCACCTACCACGGCCATGGCCATGTTCTTTGTCCTCAGAATCCTACTGGACGCACCTGGGACAGGTCTTAGGCATTTGAATGCCACATCTTTTTGGAACTCACCAAGGGGCGCCTCTTTCTTGCCTGGTGGGGCCACAGTGACTCACATCCCCCTTTCTACACTAAGTCTGGAGCCCGGGGGATGCAAAGTGGCCAGGTGCCTCCCACGCCCAGTCCTGGATCCCCTGCATCTGAGGAAGGGCATGAAGGACAGCTGTCAGACCAGGATGTGGGCAGCTCAGTGAGCCCTACTATTCTAGGTGTTTCAGCAGTGGGACACATGTCCCCTGTGTGCAGTGATGGGTACATCATGTGCTGGAGGACTGGCCACAGGGCGACACCAATGCTCAGGAGCAGGGCATTTGGTGCTTTGGGGATTTCCATCCCAGCCCTGGCTTCATATTTTCAGATCACTGTCTGACCGTGTTCTTCTCCTCTTTCTGGAACATGGCATTTGCTCATCCAACAGCATGCACTGGGTTAGGGAGCTGAGCTGTCCACCCCCCGCCCACCATTGGTGGTGTCAACCTGCAGATCCTGGGGGCATCAGCACCATCCCTATATGCAAGGACCAGGAGGCTGACACCCGGCAGGTCTCCTCACCAGGGACACTTAGTCCCTAGGGCTTGGGATGCCCAGCCCCTTTACGCTTTATGTATGCATACAGACCAGAAACAGATACTCAGTACAGCTGTGGTGTTAAACTTTCATATGGGATGAGGAGAAAATGTCTGAATAGGCCACGGGGCAGGAATGTAAGGGCAGAAAGATGGAGAAACCCTGCTCTGGAGCCCCAGGCGCCCGCTGGGGCCCCTTCGGGCCATCCTGAAGCTTCCACACCCAAGCTCTGGAGTTAAGCTTGCATCTTGTTTTACAGACTGGGTGAGTCCATAGAAGGATCACCCCCCCAACCCCTCTGGTCCTGCTTCTTTATCTGTAAAGTGAAGGGAAGTTGTGAGATCCAGTAGTTAAATTAGTGAAGTTCTGGAACAGTGTCCAGCCCTCGGAACGTTCCCAGCACTGGCCCCCTCCAGGGTCTCCTGGCACAAAGTGGCATTCTGTACATCCTTGATGAATGCCAGTGTGTTGAGGGGCATGGAAGAGGGAAAGCAGCGTGTGGGGAAGAGCAAGTACTCTGGGACAGGTGTGGGGAGGGGAGATGCTGGCAGCAGGCCCCGGGGGAGGATGCCAAGGGCCTGACACCCACATGCAGGAGATGGGCCTTGGCCCGGAAGCCCCGAGGTCCCCAGAGGTGGCTTTGTGTTTTTCTAATGTGCCACCATCAGTGCTGAGTGGCCATCACAGGGACTCTGTAACCAACAATAAACCACTAGAGTTTGCCAAATACTTAGTTGAACGCATTAGAGGAGGTCCTAGGTTATCCCTCTGATAACCTCTTTCTCACTCAACTGGAATCGATCGGCCTTCCCGAGTGAAGAGAAGATTCCTCGCAACCTCAGCAGGTTCATACAACCTTGAACCAGACATGGAGTGGTTATGGAGAGCTTCCAGGAAATACTGGCAGTCCCAGTGTTGGGGACACATGGGGATTTACCTGTTTGCTCTCTGGAATCCTACGAGGCCGGGGCTCTGACCGTCCCTGCTCCCAGATGAGAAACACAGGCAGAGAGGTCAAGTCACTCGCCATAGATCACACAGTAGGGAAATAGCAGAGCCAGGATTTGGACTCAGGCATTCTGATTCAAGAGACTACAGCTGAAGATCTACCTGGGCCTGTGTGTGCCACATTTCCTTCTCAGAAAGATCACCCTGGTGGGAGGTGCACAGAACAGGAGTTTGGAGCATAGAGGAGGGGCTGTGGTTTCCAAGACAAGTGGGGCATGAGGAGTGGCCTACAGCCCAGGAGGGAGCCAGGTCCCAGCCCCTCCCGGCCCCCAGCGCCCTGACAGGTGACAGGTGGCTGCCCCGAGCCGCCCCTCCTGAGTACATCCGCCTGTGTTGGCACCGAGGATAACGTGTCTTGGCCCTTATCCTCTCTGCAAACCAGAGGGAGGAGGAGGAGAGAGATAATTACCATAGGGATGAGCCAAAGCACATATTTTTAGAAAAACACAGATGGGCTGGTGGGTGGGCGGAGGGAGGTGCCGGGAGGAGCCGCCACATCACATTCCCTGGAGGGGTCCTGTGCGGATCCTGGGCTTTCTCTGTGCCTCGGCTTCCTCATCTGTGATACAGGGATAAAGATATCCACCCTTCAGGCTTCCTGGAAGGATCATGTGAGCTGTGCCACATGAATCATCCATGGTCACATGGGCACTTCTTAGGCATAAGATGTGAACCCTATTTAATCATGATCACCAGCAAGTCGTGTCTCTCATGAGACACAGGGCTGGGCTCCATGCTTTCTGGGTTCCAATCTCAGCCCCTTCACTTCTGTCTTGGGCAGGTTGTATAGCCATTCCGTGACTCAGTTTCTCCATTTGTAGAATGGCAATGTTTGTATCTGTTGTGCGCAGCAAGTGACTGCGTGCAAAGTCCAGTGTGTAGGACGTTGGCTCAGACAGCGTTAGCTTCTTTTTACTATAACATGTTTCCCTGAAGCTGACTCACTGGTGGATGCGTGCTTCACAGATTATAGGATGTTAGCACCTTTTGGTTACAGGATCAATGGAGAGTGGTTTCCTGGGATGTTCTTGGTGCATTCATTCCACACAGTATCTCCTGTGTGTCTGGCACGGTGCTAGATGCCGGGCATAGAGAGGGGCAAGACACACACTATTCTTTGGGCTGCTCCCAGCAGGGAAGAGAGCCACATAAAGACACAGCCATCTGGTGGGGGAGGGTCCCGAGACGGAGGAGAGTGGTGGGCAGAGGCAGTGACCAACCCAGCCTGCTGAAGCCAAGCTGTGAACTTCAGCCTTAATAGGAATTTGTCTGGTCCTCAACGGCATAGCTAGAAGAATTCTTAAACTTTCTGATTTTTGCACTACCAATGTACTTATCACAATTTTGGGTGTGCACAAAATACCCAACTCAGAGCATGCGAAATCATTTGGGTCAGTCCTGGATTCTGGAATGAGCGGACCTTCAGTTTAGTGGCTCCACAATTGTGTGCAGCCATTTTTCCTGTGTGTGTCAGTATCATCATCTCTTGGATATAACTGTGCTCCTAGTGGAACAGTAGAATGCAGTTAGCACCTGGACAAGCACCCTAAGCTGAGAACAGCACTGCCGTGTTCTGAGCACTCTTGTGTTCTTCCTTAAGACAGCCTCTGAGCTGAAGGATGGATGGATGGATGGATGGATGGATGGATGGATGGATGGTGGTGGGTGAGTGGAGGTGTGGGTGGATGGATGGGTGGATGGATGGTGGGTGGATGGATGGAAGATGGGTGGATAGGTGGATGC